GGGATTCGTTACAAAGACAACCCGATTCCATTCCCTCATTCACATAGAATTCTTTCTCTATCCCAGAGCAAACGGTTACGCCGATATTCATCTGTGAGAGGTAGCACCCAATGTGGCCGATAAGAAAAAAGGCCAAACGCATACCAACCATACTTCCATGCTCCTCAAACCACTGATTAGCGATGGCTCGAGTACTACAGAATCTGTCTCTCAGAGTCAGAAGTATTAACCGGCGATCCCGTCGCTCTGTGACGTCCAGAACTCCTCGCTCGCTGTCCTAGTCAGGAATGACTTCACGCTAGTTCACACTGCAGTATACTCCGTAAGGATCTGTTGGTCCTCCTAGAAACTTCTCGTATCGATAGAGGCACTCTAGGCATTTTGAGCAATCCCAAAAAGGCTTCTCAATGAGCTACACGAAATTTAACATTTAACTGACACCGTAAATGTACGAAAACTGAATGCTTCTTTATCACCAAACAATACACGCAGCCACCACAAAAACAGAAGAACCAGACCATTTTATCACTTGTTGTTCATGGCAAGATAAATCGATATGTAAAAAGTCTTGAATTCTAATAAATATACGTGAGTGTTTACCTTTATTGTCATTCAGTATATTTGCAGCATTTTTAATCCTGTCGCATAGTTGCTTGGCGTTGTCTATATGAACCTTGTATACCTTTGTTTTTAATGCTCCCCATATAAAGAATCGCAAGAATTAAGAATAAAGGGGAACGAGGTGCCATTAACTAAGAGCTTCTTGACCTTTACCAATCCATCTGACATCGAATTTCTCGTTCAAGTTATAGCACGCGCAAAGTTAGTCGGAGCGCCACCATGCATAAAAAACACGTTTATTCTTAGATTTAGAGGCAGGTAGAACGTATTGTTGGAAATGAAGAGAGCCATCTCCGTTTAATTTATCGGGCAACCTATATGGACCAACTTCCAAACATTAATTTTAAATTCACATTGAAAATGTACACTAAGTGACATATAAATCGGAACACCCAGTTTAAATGGTTTTATTTTAATAAAATTTTGTATAAGTACTTAATGAAGCATAATAAGTAAATGATAAAAATTTCAAAATGATTGCACTGCTTTAAAGCCCTTTGACCTTTAATAATGTGTGGATGCACCCCGATGTGCTACGCATTCTCCAACGCGCCTAGGCATGCTTCTGATCAGGTGGTCAATGTCCTCCTGTGGTATCTCATTCCAGGCAACCACCAACTCCTCTCGAAGTGCTTATAGAGTCTGAGGAGGACGTTGCAAATTGAGCAATCTCCTACCCATCATATCCCACACGTGCTCAATTGGGGATAAGTCGGGAGATCTTGGTGGTCATGGTAACAATGTGACATCATTATATTGAAAGAAGTCTATTGTGACTCTTGGAACATGTGGTCGGGCATTATCTTGTTGGAAAGTTGGATCTGCCAGGGTGTCAAGATAGGGTAAAAGATGGGGTTCTAGAACTTCGTGGATACAACGCTGTGCGTTCATGTTACCTCTGATGAAGATTAAAGGTGACCTTGAACCATAAGCTATAGCACCCCAACAGTATGATGAACATGTCTTTCAACAAAAAACTGTGGATTCCTCCTTTCACCACGTCGCCTTCTAACCCTGGCACGACCATCGTGCATGCCTAAACAAAATCGAGACTCGTCACTAAAGACAATACTGTTCCATTCCTGATCCCAGAGTGACCGTTGTCTGCACCACTCAAGGCGATTACGTCGGTGTTCTCGAGTTAAAGGAAGGACCCAGTGTGGCCGGTATGAAAACAAGCCAAAACTTCTCATTCGTCGGCAAACACTTCGCATGCCAATAGGTCTTCCGTGTTCTGCAAACCATTCATTTGCAATGGACCTGGTAGTGGAGAAACGGTCCCTTAAGGCCAATAATATTAGGCGGCGATCTTCACGGTCTGTTGTTCTACGGCGGCGTCCAGTGCCCCTTGCTCTTTGCGTACGGCCTTCTCGAAGCCATGCCTGACAACACCTAACCACAGTGTCTACACTTCTTTGCACTCTAACTGCAATTGCCCGAAAAGAAAGTCCAGCTTCCCGAAGTCCCACTATACGGCCCCTATCAAACTCACTAAGTTGATGAAATCGTACAGGTCTCCGTACTCTAGGCATCGTAACCGATCGTAAAGGATGTCAAGAACCAAAATCCGCCAACGTTGATTCTTTACTGCGGCTGAAATATTCATTTTTAGAGCGTTAGTGAATTAAAAAGAAGCAGTATAAAAACCGGAATGTCCAACTGATAAGGCTGAAAATTTTTTCACTTGTTATTTACAGTAAGATACATACATTCGCCAACTTTTATTAAAATAAAACCATTTAAACTGGGTGTTCGGATTTATATGTCACTTAGTATATTTCTGAAATTACATGCGGATTTTCTTCTACATTATGCAAATTTATCTTACTACGTCGGGTAAAACATGACTCGTGTAAACATAACTTTTTTGTAAGATTACCTATCAGTTGCTCTGCGTTCTGATACATTTTGTACAAATCTCAAACGTGAGTGATGGTCAGTAGGCAATAATTCCTGCACAGGCTGATCGTGAAAAGAACGAATGAGTTGTTCATTTAAAATCCTGTTAACAGTGGTGTTTTCTAATCTGCGTGAGCTGATACTTGGATTTCATTCGACCACTTCAAGAACAGCTTCTTCCACTAGCGGTGTTCGGGTTTGCCGCGGTTTTCTAGCGTTCGACTCTTAGACGTTGCAATCGACCAATATTTCGAAGTAGGCGTTCTATGATTGTAAGTCTGACGATTTGGAACACTTTTTCAGCAATTACGTTCGCTTAAACCAAATACTAACAACATATCAGCCTGCTCGTGACAAAAAATTACATATTCACGGCGGTCCAGAAATACGTGGTACTTCTATGTCCACGGAATATTGGGACACACTGTATATGAATCTATTGATCATATTTATAGTTTCTTGTTTCTCTACTTAAAGCGCCTTCCTCTTTTCTATGTGTTTTTTTTTTGTTTCACTTTATGACACACAGACTGTGTAAATTAAACCATTGTACTATGTATTGCTCTCTAAATGGCACCTGTACTGTTGGGCAATAAATGCTATATTATTATATGAAGACTAACTTATTTGTCCAAATAAGATTTCTGTTTTTAGTCTAATCATATTAGACGAAAATACCCCTGGTTTGCGAAATAATTGAAAAGTCTGTTTGTTGCAGGGGGGTATTCAAAACATGGACGCATGAAATGGGTACACCAATTTTTGTGGGAAAACTTTTCATTCGACAACAAAGAATGAGAAAACGTGTTTTTTGGGATTCAATCGAAACTGTTGGCAGGAACGAAAAAACTCTTCATATAAGATTTTTAGGTATTTATAAAGTTGTGGCCGAAAACCGAGGCAAACTAGGTTTTGGCACTTGTTGGTAATGCGACGATGGTTTCTCGCAGATATTTGAAATTCTTCAAATTCGTAGGATTCGTACTTCTAAATAATCACAACAAAATTGGCGTAGATTGGTAAAGTAGTTTTTGAGAATTTCTAATTGTTTATGTTTACCCCAAAACACCTGTTTTACGGTCATCACTACTAGCTTATTGAGCAATGTACAGGGTTAGTTCCAAGGGCATTTTATAGCAAAAAAACTCTAGTTTACCTTGCCGATATCAATTACAAACCATTCCCGAAGATAAATGTTATTTTTATGCAAAAAAGGATGGGTTGTTTTTTCTTCTAAACAAATTCAAACATGTCGAATTTGTGAGTAACTCGCACCAAAAGATGATAGACATCCGCTTTGTTTTAAAATGTGTATAGTAACGTATGTTTTTCAAATATCGTAGCGCATTTGTTCAATTACTCACAAATACGAAATGTTTGAACTTTTTAGAAGAAAAAACGTAACCTTTGTTTTTCGCATAAAAATAACATTTATCTTTTTTAGTGGTTTGTAATTCATATCGGCATGGTAAACACGTGTATTTTGCTATTAAATGATCTTTCAACGAATCCTATATATTGCATATATAAATTAGCAGTGATGGCCGGAATACAGGTGTTGTGGGATAAACAATTAAAAATTCTCAAAAATTACTTGACTAATATAATCCAATTTTGTTGTTGTTACTTAAAACTATGAATCCTACGGATTTGAAGAATTTCAAGTAGTTGCGTGAAATGATCGTCGCATTACCAACAAGTGCCAAAACCTGCATTTTGCCTCGTTTTTCGGCCATAACATTTTTGTTAATAGTCGGATCTTTTTACGTGTCGGCTCATTTCGTAGGTCTCATACATACCTAAAAATCTTATATGAAAAGTTTTTTCGTTCCTGTCAACACTTTCAATTGAATCCCAAAAAACACTTGTTCTCATTCTTTGTTGTCAAATAAAATAGTTTTCCTCAAAAAAGTGTACCCATTGTATGCGTCCACGTTTTAAATACCCCCTTGAACAACTTGCACCAATAAAACCAGAGTATACAATTATTTTGGGGAAATTTGATATGGTTAGACTATTTTACCCGAAACTAATTCTGGTGGTCTGTACCTGTCAATTTCAGAAGTTAATCGAAAGCATTAGCTAAAAACGTTGAAATTGCCGGGTGCTTTTATGGAATAATAGTTTACTAGATATTTTTTATTGCACTTTCTCATATATTATTTAATACATAATTCGATGGGATTTACTAAAATTTGTGAAATAATATTCCAAAACTATAAATTCATTGGAAATAAAAGATAAGTAGTAAGTAATAAAACACTTAGTTACAATTTTTTATTCTTTGTCATGCTAGAAACAATGTTTACGTCACGTTACTAAAATTGTATTTATCACAGAATAAGTGAACACCGCTTTCACTTGCTTAACTAAAAACACCCGTAAATAAACATAACAGTTCAGTTTTAAATTCGATTTTAGTTATACAAGTATACAGTAATAAAAGTAATTAAGTGGAAGCATTAAATACATAATACTATTTTCAATAAAAATAAAAAGGGTATAAAATCCACCCTAGTCCATCACAGCTATTCAATTATATATCAATAAAATTAAGATATTCTCAGCATCCCATATGTTACATCAGCAACGTTCAAACAAAAACATATTTTGATCATCTTATCGTACCTTCGGCAATAACCAATAATGCTATTACTTGAGTCAAATCGGTAAAGAAAGTGAACTTGACTATACAAATATTTATTTACACCCGGTCCGATATGTCTATATCATATAGAGTTTCAAAGGTACTGTATCAATTCCAGTATGAAGGAATATATAATTATAGTGCATTTTGTTGAGGCCTCCGACATTTATTTTTAGAGTAAGTTGAAATTCGAGAAGATGAAATTGATGCATGAATACTTCGAGGCTTGTTCAATTGAAACCCATATTTGGTCAGGTTAGCCTTGGAAACAATTCTAATCACTTAACTGACGTTTTGCAAAGTTAGTTGTGTTTGTAAACGTCTCACTGATCAGTTGGATTGTATTTGACTGCTATTTTAAGTATTGTGACAACCCCGTTGGTTGTTAACAATCTATCCAAATACAATCAGCGTGCGGACATTCAATTTTTGTGTGCTGAAGGTTTGCAACCATTTCAAATTCATACACTAATGCAAGCAGTATATGGAAACGAATAGGGTCGAAAATTCAAGAAAGGAATGATAAGCCGCGACGAGGTGCATTGAGTACTGCACCAAAGAAATGTGGCATGTGTGGAAGGCATGCTTAGAGAAAATCGTCGCATTTCAATCAGAGCAATTTCAGAAAATGTTGGTGTGAGTATAGAATCTGTCCATAGGATCGTACACAAATTGGGTTACAGCAAAGTTTGTGCGCAAACACGCAAATTCTCCGCCACCAAAGAAGTTTAAAGTTCAACCTTTTGCAGACAAGGTCAACATTTTTTTTTCGTCCATGAAGACACATGCTCATAGAGTATAAAGGACCTAGAGTACATATCAACGCAAGCCTGTATAATAAAACTGCGAACAATCGCCATCGAGCAATAAGACGAAAACGTCCAGCAAAGCTCTCACGTGGTGTCTATTTTTCTGCACGACAATGCTCGATCTCATGTTGCCAGAGTAGTGAAAGAAAATCTAACAACGAAAGAAATGGAGGATATTAGAGCATCCGCCCTATAGTCCCGATTTGTCGCCTTGCAATTTTTACATCTTTGGGCCACTGAAAAAGGCGTTAAAAGTTGAGCATTTTCGGGACAGATTGGTGAAACAATGGGATATGTGCCTTAATTGTAGTCGTAATTACATATTTGTAGATATATTCGCCAATAATTTTTTTCTGGACCAAAGATGGGTTTCAATTGAACAAACCTCGTATATTACAGTGTAAAAGTGGCATATGAAAATTTCAACATGGCGCCTGGGTGCCAGGTTGGATTTTTTTAATTGATGTGATGCATTACTTTGATGCCACTTATGCGCGTCTTATAAATCTGGAATATAAAGTTCTCTAACTTTCAAAATTTCAACTTGGTGAGTTGAGTTTTAGAACATTGCCCCACTTACAACTCAACAACTAACTACCAAAACTTCAATGTATACAGGGTGTTTCAAATTCGACCCTTACCATTGGGTACTTGGAAATGGAGACAAAGTTTCGTATTTAGGTAACAACAAAATGTCGTATAGAAAGTTTCGAAGTTCAAAGTACTTTCGAAAAGAGACGAAAAAGACGAATTTTCATAAAGTCGTTTTAATTTATTCCTGATTTTATTTGTAGTGAGGTTTCAAAATAAATTACTTATTAATATTGGCACTTTTTGTCATCTACAAGATGGTGTAGATTAATATAGTTTTCAATTCTGTTTCCAAAAACGTAAACATTGACGTTACCTAACCTTAGTTATTTTAAAAAGACGGAATTTCCTAATAGTCATTTGTTTCGTATACCAGATTTATCGCAAAATCATTTTTATTTTTTCGTGACTTTATGTGATACGGGATTTCAAAATAAATTGCATGATGCCATTGCCACTTTTCTCCTCTAAAAGATGGCGTAATCAAATTTTTAAATGTTGTTTTGCATATGAACGCTTTATTGGAATTTTGTACATTTAAATACTAAGAATAATATTATTTTAATATGTGGTTTATCGTGAGATAAACGAATGTATCATAACTAAATCAGAATCAAAAATTGTGCTCAATTGCGCAAAATTTTAATATGGAGCTAATATGCAATTTATTCTAAAATCTCATTTCAAATAAAATCAGCTAATAAACAACGGTTTGTGATAAATCCGGTATGCGAAACAAATGACTATCTGATAATTTCAAGGCCTTAATAGGAAATTCTATTTTTTTTAAATAGCTAATGTCAAATTTATGCTAAGTCGTCTCATGCATCAAGATTCATCCCAAATTTTAACTTGACCAGTTCAAAACATAAAACAAAAACTGAAAAACGCATTTGATAAGCTTGCCGAATATATACTATAACTTATGTTTAGCATCAATATGAATATTTTTTTCTTCAGATACTCAAAGAACCTTATAGAAAACCAATTGGATATTTAAGAAAGAACAGTTAAATATGATCAACGTGATAACTGAAGAGATCTTTTAAAACAGATGGCATATAACAAAATAAATTCCCGTAGCCGTTCACTCATTTAAAATTTAGATATACTGTAACATTAAAACAGTGTGTATTCTACTCTTTCATATTACACTAATTTGACTCACATAATCGCAAATATAACAAAAAACAGGACAAATGAAAACAGAACCGTCTTGTACTTTCCTTCTAGCTTATGTTACCGAAAAGCATTAATAATATTATTTAGTTGGTCGATCAGCCTTTGCAACCGTTTCCTCTCACGCTCGTTTCTGAATAGGACTGTGTTCAGTTCGCGCTGCTTTTTTTCCAGGAATTTCACTTCATTCTGCTTTCTGATCGTTTCCTCTATTAACATCGAACACTGCTTCTTCAATTGTACTATATCCAAGTTCCTTTCTGAAACAAACATACTGAATGATACATTAAGGCTCAAATTTACTAAGCCGGGCGCAAAAAAGCCCGAAGGAAAACAAATTCAACCAATAAGGCGTCGTTGAAGTAATGAATCTAATAAATACGATCGATTTCTTGTAATATGTCTCTCAAACTAGACAAAAATTATACGGTTTGTGTAAAATGGACCCCGAATCACCATATTAGATCAAGAAATACGTCATAAATCACTTGATTTAGGTACAAAAACTCATTTTTTCATTTGCAGCCGAACACTAAATTAGCGGCCATGATCATACAATACGAAAAGGTCGCACACTCATTTGTGACTCTCCTGCTATATTTTGGAAAAAAATGCTCGGACACGTCAATATTGATTTATAGTGGAAACCCCCATTTTTTTAATTTTTAGATTTTCCATGAAGTTTTTAGTAATTTTTCTATGATAAAGTTTATACCTATCTTTAATCGTTGTGAAGTGTTGTACATCCCGGTACAATCAGCCGATATCACCCTTTACATGAACATCCACACCACCCAGTACACTCAATCCAAAGTGACACCAGCGTGTGCGCATATGCAGACAGACATTCTGGTGCTTTGATTTCGTTGTATCTGGCCCGGGTACCCCCATTGGTGAAATTGTGAACCAGGAATAAAAAGACTCACGCTTGAATCTCTGGACACAACACGTCGGCTCCCGGATCTAACAATCGATCGCGCGGTCGACCAGAGGTAAAAAAGACATTACGAGGGATGTCTTTTAAGTTTTGCATATGGAAATAAAACAACACGCTAGGTATACTACAACTATTTAAAACTGTAATGACTCATACGCGTGATCAACACGTGATCAGAGCTCGATCCCGGCTTCCTTCCAGTACAGCCGTATAGCGTACGACATATGTCGTTTCTGTAGCTTTGCGGTGGTCAACAGCACAGACAGAGATGGAAATAATGGCTGATTGTTCTCCGCCGGTAGAACCAATGAAATCAAAGACGCGCCTCGACCGGCAGACTCATAGGCGTCGGCAACGCATTGGAACGTGTTTCGTTGAGCGATCGCATATTGTGTGTTTTTATAAGAATTGTTGTGTGATTGTTATTGTTGTGGTTTCTGTGGTTACTGTTTTGGTTATACTTAACCATGGAGAGTACAAATGGCACGAGTGGAAGTACTGAAAGCCAGGGAAGAAGTAGACGGCTTCGTAAAGCACTGAAGAGGGACGCGAAAGAAATCGTGCTCAACGTGTTCAATTATCTGAACAGAACTATGTCGCAGGGAGATGCACTCGCGCGTTGTGAAAGTACGGCGTTCCAGAGTGGACCATTCGCAGGGTGGTGCATGAAAAGAAGAAAACTGGAGCTACTACTGATCCAAAGTTTAATTTGAAGGGACGGAAGGCCGTTAAATTGGATGACGATAGCAAAATGGCGTTAAGGCGAACCGTACATTCATTCTTCTTTAGGAATGAGATACCAACCCTCAAGGCTGTACATGCAGCGATCAAGGAAAATGAAATTATACCCCAAATGAGCGTCGAGGTAATGAGGAAATCCCTGCACGAAATTAATTCTCGTTACGAAACGCGTAATCGGAAGTCAGTATTGATAGAGAGACCTGAAATAGTCGCCTGGCGTCGAAAATACCTACGCGAAATGATTGAATATAGGCGACAAAGCAGAAAAATCTATTATTTGGACGAGACATGGGTAAATGCAGGTCACACAGATAAACAACCTGGATAGACAAAAACGTAGTGAGTAACCGACAAGCAAGCATTGAAGGTTTGCCAACACGTCTTCGTGGACCGTCAGGGAAACGTCAAAGATTGATCGTAACTCATATTGGTAGCGATAGTGGCTTTTTAGAAGACTGTGACTTGATTTTCGTCTCTAAGAAAGGAGGTGATTACCATGACGAACTGAATGCCAGCTGCTTCGAGAGCTGGTTTCAAGGGGTGCTTCAGCGAGTTCGTCATGGATAATGCTTCCTACCATAGTCGTCGAGCCGAACGTGTACCGACTATGGGATCTCGAAAAAGTGACATGCAGCAATGGTTGCGCGAAAAAGGAATCCCGTTTGACGATTCATGTGTGAAAGCGGAATTGTATGGAAAAATTAAACAGCACAAACCTGCGAACATTAGTTACGTGACTGATGAGATGGCCCGTCAATGTGGTGTCACTGTGCTGCGGTTACCGCCCTACCACTATGAACTGAACCCAATAGAGCTCATCTGGGCTCAAGTGAAGGGTTATATTGCGCGCCATAACACAACCTTCAAATTACCAGACGTTAAGGTTTTACTTGAGACTTCCATACAGCTAGTAACGCCCGAAGTTTGGCAGAATGCTATCCGTCATGTTGTGAAGGAAGAAACAAAAATGTGGCAGCTTGACCACCATATCGACACCATCATAGAGCCAGTTATAGTCAATTTCAACGAGGAAAGCGATAGCGACAGTTTATTACTGTCAGATGTAAGTGGAAGCGACGATGAATAAAGGTAATTCCCAAATTTTTGACTTACAATATGTTTCAAACCACTCTTTATTAAGCATGTGACAAATCTAGTTCACCCATGTTAAACATTCATACCCCGCCTATGAACAGCCGACTACTGGTAGTTAAGTTATGTTCACGTGAACATCGATGAGTTATTACAGTTTTAGATAGTTATAGTATAGTTTTAAATGACTTTATTGTTTTTCGAAGTATTCTCCACGAAGATTAATACACATCTGCATGCGCTCAAACCAATTTTCGAAGTACTTATTCCAGCCGTTTGATGGCAGATCCAAAACCGCATTTTTGAATGCATCAACTGCTTCTTCTGGTGACTGGAACCTTTGACCACGCCGTCTGCTTTTAATTTTCGGGATATTATAGAAATCGTTAGGACTTAGATCGGGACTATATGGAGGATGGTCCATAATTCCACGTTTTCTTCCGTTAAATATTGCCGTGTTTTTTGGGCTGTGTGCGAGCTTGCATTGTGGTGGAGGATGATTCTTCTTTCGGGGTTGATTTTTCGAAGCTCGGTGATGAGTTTTGGCAAACAAATGGCGGTATACCAATCCGCAGTAACAGGTCTTTGCTCATTAAGAGGAATTGTTGCAATATGGCCCGCTTTGACACAAATGTCGCGACCATCTTTGTCGAAACACTTCGAGAACGGATGACTTTTGTTGGCTTTTCTTCACCTTGGAACACCAAAACAGCCGATTGTCGTTTATTTTCTGGTTCCTAACAGTAAATCCACGATTCATCACCACTAACAATGCTGTACACATTTTTTGAGTTTCCGGAATTGAAACGGTCAAGCGTTTTTTGACACCAATTAACACTGGCTGCTTTCTGCTCTTCAGTCAACAGGTGGGGTATCCAACGAGAAACTAATTTTCTTACTCCTAATTCTTCATGTAAATTTTTTTGAATTGAGGTCTTTGAGATCTTCAAGGACGCCTCAATCTCGCGATGCGTCACATGTCTTCAGTGATGAGTTTGCGCACAGCATCGGCGTTTTCCTGGGTGACTGCCGTTTTTGGTGCACCCACCCTGGGATCGTCGCTAAGACTCACCCGTCCACGTTCGAATTCTCCATACCAACGGGAAATTGTCGACTGATGTGGCGCTTCGTTGCCGAAAACAGACAGTAACTCAGCAAGGCATTCTTGTTGCAATAATTGTCTCTGAAAGTATGTAATAAATTGAGTTTCATTTTGCTAATGACTTGGTGACACTTAAAAATTCACTGTAGTGAGAACACTGCACGTATTGTTGTGAAACTTTGAATTTAAGTTTACGAAAGAGTGAGGTTAAGTTTCAGTACTGACGTTCGATCCGCGCGGCCTACTATGTTTTTATATGCAAAACTTAAAAGACATCCTTCGTACTAACCTGTTGAATGTATGGCTTATGCATTATAAGTTTGTATCCAGTCCAAACCCAATAAACGTTGTTTCAAGAAAATAAAGTGTTATATTATGCGACATGACGAGCATACACAACATGAAGCTATTTGAGTTTATAATCAAATTCGACTAACTTAATATTGATAATAATGGAATGAACGGCAAATAATAATAATCATGGATACCAGCAAGAACATTTAGTATCAGTCAGTGTCATCGTATGTCATAGAAAAACTTTGTCTTTCATTTCAAATGGTTAAGTTACCTACCTAGTTGTGATAAATATTGAACAGACTTATTCAATTCAGAAAGAGTCCAGTTTCTTCAAATTTTCTCATCAACTTAGCCACATACTTATCGTTAATATTTTTGCCTGGATGTAACGCATTAAACAACCGGGCAGTACCTCTTGCAATGCTCTCATTTTGGTAATACAGTTTTGTTATTTCTATCCTTCTTGAATGAAATAAGTCATTGTTAAATATTTATCACAACTAGAATATTATTTTTGTCGTGGATTCCATTATTAACAGTATAACTTTAATCAAATTTTATTATAAACTCAAACAGCTTCACAATGCTTGAAGATAGGTATAAACTTTATTATTCAAAAGTTACTAAACACTTCATGGGGAATCTAAAAATTAAAGAATGAGGGTTTCCATTTAAAAATCTAAAGTGTAACGCGATCTCTTATTTTTGGATCACTCTGTATTGTAAGGCTATAAATAAAAATACGCCCCCTAGAAATCAAAATTGACTTGTCGGAGCGTTTTTCCCAAAATGTACCAGGAGAGTCACAAATGGGGTCCACCCTGTACAATGCACCAATGAAAAATAAGCATTTGCGCCATAAGCGAAGCATGGACACAAATCTGACACAATATCTATAGATTAATGTGGCAGCAATTAAATTTGCGGCATAAAATTCTGCTTGATAGATTCTTTGACGACATAATTAAAATTACAGAATGCTTATTTTTTCACAAGCATCGAGTGAAAAGCTTGACAAATAAAAATATTCAAAACAAATCTGGGGTAGTTTCTTGCCGAGAAATGCTACTATGCAGTCTCTGTCTCGTATGTAGCATATTTCACCACAGCAGTATTTAAACAATATTCACGTTTTGTCCTTTATTCAGTCTCATCGGTGGTGTAGAAATTTACAAGATTCTGTCTCAAGGTCATAAGATATTTAAGGACATATGTTTATAAGGACTTTATTGTTATTTTGGATGAACTTTCTAATCTATAAATATTGGGATTGTTTTTTAATCACTCCATAGGTAGTTAGAAATTCTAGAGTCAATATTCACTAACCTTTTGCATATATCTTGTATGACTCCACAATGTCTACTATCCCAGGCCATTTGAACTTGTTATCTTCTTTCAGCGCTCTCAAATTTTCTTTTTCCATAACAGCTTCAATGGGAGTAACAATTCCATTACACTTCTGATTTTCAAGTAGGATCATCGTAAGAGGGAGATAATTGACTGGTATATTGTTCTTAATCGTCTCTTTCTTTGCCGTAAATCTGTGCACTAGAGGCAGCTTCAATATTGTGTCCTTGATTGTGCTAACATCATTATGAGCATCCAGAGCTGACTTTTTATTGACTCTCTCACAATACTTTGTTAAGGAGGATTCACAATTTCTTCTCAGTCTTTCTTGAATGATTTCCTTCCAATTATTTTCATTTTCGGCTTTAACGACCGGGCTGACAGTTACGAGACCTAGAAGATGGAGGAAGCTTTTCTTCGCCTTTGGATTCTGCATGATGTTCAGTAACGAAGGCGCTTTAGAAGGCACTGGCAGGTCCAGAAGTGGTATGTCTACTGATTCAGTTTCTTTTAGTATAGTGGCAGGCAACCATTTCCTTTTTTCCAGTATATCGAATTCTATACCTTGAAAAGGCAAAGCAATTTCAGTTGGACGACTGGGATGATAATACAAGGTTTGTTGCAAAGTAAACAGGACTTTTGAAGGATATCCGATACAAGTAGCCCCATCTATTACCGGACAGCGTTGGATAGGTACATCTTTCATTGATGCCCTGTAAAAATTCCATGACAATCGAACCACTTCACGCGGAGCTATCGCGCTCGTAGTGACAGTACCTTTTCGAGAGACATCATTAAAGAGGCCAAAAAAGACAAAAAATTTCTGTACAACATTATGATGTTTTCAATACGATCCCGAAACCAAGCGTCAAAGTGCCAAATGGAAGCACCTAAGCGAGCCAAATCCGAAAAAAAGCCGTTTGAAAAAGTCCAAAGTGAAGAAGTGTATTTGTACGATTCGAAGGGAATTATTCACAAAGTATTCATTCCACCGCGCCAAACGGTTAATGCTGCGTTTTATCTTGGTGTTACGATGCGTTTGATGTCGCGTATTCGTCGTGTTCGGCCAGAATATCGCGAAGAAGGAAGCTGGTGCTTATTGCACGATAATGCACCATCTCATCAATCGACGCTTCTGCCCAATTTGTTGACAAAAATGGCATTTCAACCATCATATTCTCCTGATATGAAGGGACAGCGGTATACCTACGTAGAGGCCATTCAAAAGGCGTCGACGACCATTTTGAAGAACATCCCATCCATACATCCTCAATGAGCTAAAATTATCATGTGAAAATCTTTTGGACCGTGCAAACCTCAGTATTAACTCTGAAGGAGACTATTTTGAATAAAATAAATTCTATTTTCCGAAACAAACAATGTTTGTTTATTTTTTCTTTGTCCTGTTTACTTTTCGACAGACCTTGTGTAACCAGCTTCAACCCGCTTTAACCAAATGCTCATCACATCCTTTAGATCGTGGTTATAACGTCAAGGCAAAACCTTGTTAACAAACGGATATAGCTGAACCTAAAACCGTACTATGGAAGACGTTTAATAGCCGGTTAAGTGGAAAACAGTTGATCAATTGACGGAACTTCTGCAACGACGTCATCGTGTCATTATAAAATACAATCATTTCATTTATTTCTATGAATGAAAAGGAAGCCCATTTGTACAGGGTGGCATCCATGTGGACGGAATATTACTCATAAACAAATACATTTTGGGAAAATCTATTTATGGGAGGTTATACCTGACACTCGAGGGCATATTTCTAAAATATTGGCCATTATTAGGGTGTCCCAATTTCGACCTACATATCAAAGTTGTGATTTTTCAAATGGAATACCTCAAATTTTATTGCATATTCGGATAAACCAATTCAAAAGAAGAATATTGATATGACATACTATGCGAGTTTGGTAATTAGCTACTGAGATGTAAGATGTTTTGCCCAGAAAAACCGTCCACTTCGGCAACCCCTCAATCCGCCATTTTGAAATTTGGAATGCTGAATTTTGTATCAAAAAAAACTTACACACCTCAGCTTTTATCTTATTTGTTACTTTTTCGAATTTCAATTTTTGCTCATACAGGGTGGTCAAAAACGCGAATTTTAGTTTTTCACAAAAATTTCAAATGCATCACCCTGTATATTTGTGCAGGTTTGGATTCAATTTTTTATAATCTTTTTTATACTAGACACATAAGGCTTTTTAAGGCTATTTTTTAGATTATTAGCACTTCTTTTATGGAACGGCTTAATTCCCTAAAATATCGCATCATCCTTGGAAACAAATATTGTTGATTAGTTACAAACCATCAAAATTAGCTTTGTGAGCATTTTAATAAAAAAGGTGTTTGAAAACGAATTTTTCTAAAGAAGAAATGGTGAATATGGTGTTCGTCTTGGGCGAAGCCCAAAGAAATAGTTTCATAGCATCTCGCATTTATAGTATAAGCAACGATACCCAAATATGCGACATCCAAGGCCGGAAACATTTTTCACACTTCGAGAACGTTTTGAATCAACTGGAGCAGTGGAATATAGTAAAAAATGTATAAATAATCCAAGTGTCACCAATGAGGCGAATCAGTTGGAGGTTCTATTCAATTTGTAGGAAAATCCCCATTTAAGTGCACGGCAAACTGGAGCAGAAGTTGATATATACAGAACTTCTGTCCAAAGGATTATTCACAAGCATATCACATATGCTTGCATCAAGGCCTGGAGTTACAATCGTTGGATCAGTCGTGATGGGCCCTATATCTTGGCCTCCTAGATCACCAGCTATGACACCGATGGACTTCTTTCTATGGGGCTACGTTAAGCATAGATATCCACCATCTACCCCGAAAAATATGAGGGAAAGGATTAAGGATGCTTTTCTGAACATAAGGGAACACATGCTGAGGGATGTGCAATGGTCATTTATCCAAAGACTACGGCTGTGTATTCAACATGGTGGAGATATTTTCCAGCAGTTTTTGTAGATCAGGTCTTAAGTATTGATAGTTGTTTGTTTATGTTGTTATTGTTGTTTTTCGCTATTACGCTTGAAACTGATTAATACTGTTCTGATTGTTATTAGTTTTTACGTCAAATCTGTACTCTTAGTGGCAATATGGAACTAGCCCACTGTTTGTCTTTTGTTTCCATGGATGATGTGATTTTTTTCCTTAATTTTGGTGTGTTGTTCTATTAAAAGCTTAATAACTCAAAATCTAGTGATTTTATCTGAATCAAACCTTGTACCAAAAAAAAAACCTTATAAAAAATTGAATCCAAACTTGCACAAATATATAGGGTGATGCATTTGAAATTTTTGAGATAAAAGTACAATTCGCGTTTTTGACCACCCTGAATGAGCAAACATGAAAATTAGTAAAGTAAAGTAACAAATAAGATAAAAGCTGAGGTATGTAAGTTTTTTTCGATACAAAATTCAGCACTGCAGATTCCAAAATGGCGGATTGAGCGGTTGCCGAAGTGGACGGTGTTTCTGGACAAGACACCTTACATCTCAGTAGCTAATTACCAAACTCCCATATGTCATATCAATATTATTCTTTTGAATTGGTTTAACCAAATATGCTATAAAATTTGAGGCATTCCATTTAAAAAATCACAACTTTGATATGTAGGTAAAAATTGGGACACCCTGTATAATTGCCAAAATTTTAGAAATGTGCTCTCAAATGTCATGTATAATATGCCATAAATAGATTTTTCCAAAATGTATTTTTTATGAGTAATATTCCGTCCACACATGGATGGGCCACCCTGTATAGTTGACAGAAATGGGCGGAGAGGAAGCAGGCTCCTCTATATCGAAACAAGTAAGTTGAATCGCTTTAAAATCGAAGAGAAACATGCGCATCCCTCAAATCTATTTGAGGTCGAATGACAAATGGTGGCACTTACAAAAGAATGTACGAGCCCTGTCTCAGTGAAGTTGGCCCGACGCCCCAAAACATGATATTTGTGACTGTCTTAAAAAAAGTCAAGTTTACGGGTTCTGTTATGATTTGGGGATCCATGTCAGCAAGTGGAGTGGGAAACTTACGGTTTGTGGAAGGTATTATGAATGCTGATAAGTATACACCTTGGGAAAAACCATTATTATACATTATGATGAGGAAGAGAGATGGAAATATACAAAAGTATGTAGGTGCGTGAAAGACACTCGATTGTAGGATCCTATCTGGCAGCGTCGGAGTGTGACGGACAACGGGGTAAAGTAGAAGAGTGATAAAAGAGAGATGGCAGAACGGGCGCTGGCGCCTACCGCTTAGACGGATGCGCTCAACAAATGCGATTTGTTTCTCCCATTCGCAGAGTTGCCGATACCAATATGTCATATTTCTAAGAAATCTAAGTCTACCCAAATTTCGGGAAAAATAGCTGCGGATTCCACATAAGAGTATTCCAAAAATGAAAAAAGTTCAAACTATTAAAATTGTATTAATGTTTCATGGTTCAAATCATATTTTTCATGTTTGTATATTGTTGTATAAATGATTTTGTAATCCCTATTCTTGTTGCCAGTAGAGATACAACAGTATTGAGAGAAATCATGGACCGCTAGATAGGGCTACAACTACCATATGACTATCAAATAGTAGTGATAAACAGGGTTTGTTTATAGCACAGTTGCCTGGTGTGGCGAATTTGCGCCATAGGGGCGATTTGACAACTTTGAAGGACAACTATAACGGTTACTATGGTGCCCGGTATTCGGGAATCTGGCAATACCTGATGATTCCTAACGTTTATTACGCCAGATTGTTTGCTGACTTGCGCAGTACAACATGACAATCAACGTGACTGAGCACCTGGTAACCCTGGTTTAAGGTGTTATATTTAAAGAGCTTGGGGCAGTTAGGTATCTAGGTCACATTTTAAATGTATTTCGAGAAATCCGTAATGTTGAGTAAATACTAGATCACGTTTCTTGCTTAGTTTGCTGAAAATTCTACAATAAACGTACATTTTGATTTGGTGACGACAAAATCGTAAAAATATAACGCATTTTCGTAAAATAATTTCTTTGTTGAATAGACTGTGGCTTGATGACCCATTGAACGAGTATAGTGTCCCGCTCCGCTTTGAATATTCGAAACACTATACTCCAGCAGCATTCAGCTTCAATGTTATCTTTATGAAGTTCTAACGTCTAGGCCATGCTGATTAAAAGCTTGAATGAATCAACATTTAACTCTAAATTCCCCACAATTCGGGAAGCTCTACTCAAATTGGCAACACAGCGTATCTGCCTATTATTCTCATTCGTGATACAGGTCTGCGGTTAACGATAGGAAATATGTACGAATAGCGATGAAAGTAGACGAGCCGATGCGCTGTTGCCAAGAAATGATTTCCCATGTATAACAATGGTTTTTCCTAAGCTGTATTAACGTACTTCAAATAACTTAATACCCCAAATTGAACACATGTGTTTAAACACTATTGAATGTATCTTCCAACAAGATGGTGTCGCATACCACACGGCTGAAAAAGTAAAAGATTGGATGTAACATGAAGAAAAAGCGCCGATCGAATCCCGCAAGAACCGTTCCCGAATTGTGACCACGTCTCCAAGAAATTTGGAACAGTTTTACACCAGATGACTGCCAAGCATTAGTTGACACTATGTCATGATGTATCGAAGCAGTAATCAGTCGAAAAGGCGATGTAACGCAGTGGTGATTTGCTGCTATTTGGTTTCGTTGATTTTTATTAATCGGCAGTTTTTTTGAATTTGTAAGATATTTTTTCTTCTTCTTTACAAGAAAATGTAGAATTTTAGGCTAATATTGAATAAAAATATCGTATTTTATCAGAAATACATTTTAGTTTTTAATACATTTCCGCTAATATGACAAATTTCATAATGTAGTTTTGACAGTTGGGCCAATTTCACTGAGACAGGGCTCGTGGACTGTAACTAAAAACAAATAATCGATATTTGAATCATATGCATATTCCCTATTTGCTACTTAAGTGAAATGACTGAAGTACTTACGGTTTTTAACAACATGCGTGGTTATATCGAACTGCCTTAGAAATTCTAATTTCATGGGATTTAGGTCAGGTTTGTTAGGAGGTCCAGACTTGATAGTCAAATCAATTCCAGATTCTTCCTCACTGTCCGAACTGCTGTCGTAACTGCCACCACTGCTTGAACAATCAGAGTAATCTAACACAGTCACTCCGTACTCTTTTGTTATTTTCTCTCTCGGTACCTTGGCTACTTTCTCTTTCTCCTTTTTCTTCTTCACCGCCTTCTTACGTATAGTCGCTAAATCAATCTTGCTCAGCTTTTGTTTTTTTATTGGCGGAGGCCCTTGCACGGCAACATTTGGGATATTAAGTACGGTAAATTGGTTCTCACCAATCTTTGACTTGTTGTATGCTTCTGAAATAAACAAATGTTTTTAAACATATCTGACAAGCGAATTTAATCAAAATTATAAAATAAACAAAAAAGTCACATTTTTCAATAATTGTTTCTAGAATATCCGAATTCTAATCAAGTTAATGACGATAGGTTCTCTAGACTACTCGTACTGTGTTAATTTTTTATTATTATGACAGAGAAATACCCACTATTGGTATCTTTGTTGACCTGAAAAATGCCTTTGATACGGTGGACCATTAATTAGTCTAATCATATTAGACGGAAATTCCCCTGGTTTGCGAAATAATCGTGAAGTTTTTCAAGGGAGTATTTAAAACATGAAGGCATAAAATGGGTACAACAATTTTTGTGGGTAAACTTTTTATTCGACAACAAATAATGTGAAAATGGGATTCAATCGAAAACGTTGACAGGAACGGAAAAACTCTTCAAATAAGATTTTTCGGTATTTACGAGACCTACAAAATGAGACCACGTAAAAAGATCCGACTAACAGCGAAAAAGCAGAAATCCTAAGCAAAATGCAGGTTTTGGTACTTGGTAATGCGACGATCATTTCACACATATACTTGAAATTCTTCAAACCCATAAGCTTCATACTTCTAAATAACTACAACACAATTAGAGTAGACTGGTCAACTATTTTTTGAGAATTTCTAATTGTTTATCCCAAAACACTTGTCTTCCGGCTATCACTATATTAGTTTATTTATTTAACAAATTAGGGACATCAAACAGAGAAAATCTCCAAAATACACATCCACAGTGTAGTTAAATAAACTAAATTGTAAGAATTGTTATTTATAATCTACATATATCAAATATATATGCAAATATTCAATTCAGTAAAGAAACAAATATTACAAAGAATGGGAACGTGGCTTACAACATTATGTTTTTTATCAAGTATTTAAACTTTATCATTTCACAAGCAAAAATATCGGCAAATTCACCATATTCACCAATATTAGTTCTACAAAATGGAATATTGAAATATGTACAGTGTCTAGGATTCACTCTTATTGGTAAATTTATATTGATTTTCGATGAAAGGTAAAAGCAGTCAATTTTTTTGTGTTAAGAGCAGGTCATTTCTCAGCCAATAATCGCTCGAGTTTGTCGATATCAAATTGAATTTTGACGCAGTCTTGAAGGGTTTCAACTATACGATACATCTTCAAGTCACCTGCGTAAAGAAGAAACTGGCAATGGGTGAAACATTGTGCGATATCATTTATATAGATTAAAACTGGGACTAGGTGGCTACCCTGAGGAACTCCCGATAATGGAATAACGACTCTGGATTTATACCCGTTTATACACACGAGGAATTCTCTATCGCGCAAATAAAATTAAACCCTTTTTACAAGAGGGCTACCAAACACCATCCTCAGTAAGTTTTGTCAATAGCAAAGTATGATTAACTCGATCAAAAGCCCTGCTGAAGTCGGTATAAATCGCATCGACTTTATGTCCAAAATATCAGAAAAGAAGTCAAAAAAACAAAGTAATTTGGTATAAAGGCACGTTTTCGGAAAAAAATCCATGCTGTTGCTGAATGATTATATTTTTTACATCAAAAAGTATTTCATTATAAATTAGCTTTTCGAACACATATACCGAGGAATACACAGGGTTCGTTCAAAGGGCATTTTATAGCAAAATACATGAATTTACCATTGCGGGAAAATATCTTACACCAGGTGGCAATGAAAATAGGAAACACGCCGGATTTTTTGACAAATAAAGATATCGCTCCAAGATTGTGACATGTTTCGTTAGTCATTAAGAGACATTTCTGAAAAGTTGAATGGGTTATCTATCCCCTCCGGTTTAACCGTAAGTGACCTTGACATTCGTTTTTCAAATGGAAACCTATATATTTTCTTCCATAATCGTACTCTATGCAAAACTACCTTTCCAATGATGTGTCACAAGTGACATTTTCAGATTAAAATGGCGGCACTATAAAAGGAATTTCTGAATAACCTAAAATCCGCCATATTAAATAGATGTGGATTCCTGATTTTTTTCAAATAAGTATACTAACATGAAAAACACATAATTACAAGCTTTCATGTATTTAGCCTGTTTTGATAGACATTTGTTGATCACGCCACCTTGATAATATAAAATATGTTTTTGTCTTGTAAGCAACACGGTAGATTTAGGTTATTCACAAATTCCTTTATAGCGCCGCCATTTTAAAACTAAAATGCTACTTGTGACACATCGTTAGAAAGAGAATTTTGCATAGAGTACGTTTATGGAAGAAAATATACAGGGTGTCCGCAAAGTTGGGGTTTTCCTTTACACGACGTGTAGATCTTGAAAACATAAGCAATTTTTCTTAGTACCATATACACCAATGTCTTAAGGGAACCGAGATAAAGGGCTCTGCAACATCAAAAATATCTGAATACCGTCCTGTAGCCGCGACATCACGGGGTGGTACAATGTCACTGGCTCAACGACAGAACTGGGTTGGGGTCAGTGTGTCAGGTCAGTATGCAACCTTCAACCGACGGCTACGGTCACGCCTGTAGAGGTAATCGCGTAGATGAGAATCCCTCAACAAGCACTAGAGACGTGGCTAGAGAAGTGCAAGTATCAAAAACTAAAGTGTGGCAAACGCTGCGTGAAGAGGGGCTGTATCCGTTTCACGTCCAACGTGTACAAGCCCTTCAACCTGACGATTTTCCAGCAAGAGTGCGGTTTTGTGAGTGGTTGTTGCATCAACATGACAATAATCCGGACTTTTTGAAGTGTATATTGGTGACAGACGAATCTACGTTCACGCGTAATGGGTTGAATAACTTTCGATTTCAGGCAGAGACGTACTTAGCCCTTCTCGTCAACTGGAGAGTGAGTACTTTTTCCTTTATTTTTTTTTTACTTGGTCGCCCTCGTTTCACTACACATTACCTTTGTTATTTCAAGGGTAGTTGTTTCTGAAAAGGAAAACCCCAACTTTGCGGACACCCTGTATAGGTTTCCATTTGAAAAACGAAAGTCACTTCCGGTTAAACCGGAACGGAGAGATAATACATTCAACTTTGCAGAAACACCTCTTAATTACTAACTAAACATGTCCCGATCTTGGAGCGATATCTTTATTTGCCAAAAAATACAGCGTGTTTCCAATTTTCATGGTCACTGGAAGACAATTAAAATGTACACAAAAAATATGCGCATGAAAATTTGTGAAAGCGATAACTTACTTTTTTTGGTCCATTTTTGCGCAGCTGCAACATTCGTATGAGTTTTGGTCGGTTCGTAATGCTGAATACAAGCTGTCTGAGGTACGCTAGCGTTATAGCTAGGATAGTTTGGTGAGGGTATAGGCAACTGTGGACTGTGCACATCTGGAACTCCTCTTGTCTCCCCAACTGGAGGCGTGAATGCGTGCTTGACTTCATTGCTCTTGTCGCCATAAAAGTAGCTACGTGCGGTCGTCGAAGGAGTTGTAACGGTAGACGTCGACGGCGACGTTGTCATCAGAATGGCAGCTGGTGTGCTTGAGAATGACGAAGTTGAGTTTTCGAACTGAAAACATTAGTTTATTAGATACCCAGGTTGAGAAGTGGTCCATTATTGTCCGAGTGCTTTTAGGTGTCTCAACAAGAACGCCGGATTTGAGTTTGCCGCCATTTTTTGTACAAATGTATGGTGACAGTTGTCATGTCCAGACCACGCGATTAGACGTCATGGAGCCGTATTCAAACGAGCAACGTTTAATTATTGTGAAAAGTCACTACATAAATGGAGAAAATTACGCGGAAACAGTTCACAAATTACGCACAATTCTGACAAAAGATCTGTGCTTGCATGCGTACAAGGTTCATCTGAGTTACCGTTTGGTGGCGGAGTGATTGGATGCAGCTGGAACTGCGGTAACTGTTAATGGTGTGCTGTATCGCCAAATGTTAACAGAGTTTTTGTGGCCCCAGTTGGATCGAATTGATGTGGAGGATATGTTCTTTCAACAAGACGGTGCAACCTGCCACACAGCAGGCGAAACAATGGTGTTACTGCGGACCAAGTTTACAGATTTCGTCATCTCTCGTTTTGGCGATCAAAATTGGCCACCAAGATTGTGTGATCTAACGCCAATGGACTTGTTTCTCTGGGTCTAGGTGAAGGAAAAGGTGTATGCGAACAAGCCACAAACAGTTGAACACCTTAAAGAAGAGATACGGCGCGTTATCGATGAAATAGAGCCACATTTTGCGAAAACGTTACCCAGAATTTTAAGAAGAGACTGACCCTATGGCAGAGGTTTCGTGGTGGCCATTTACCGGATGTCCTATTTCATGTTTAATCGCTATTCCTCTTCAATGTTGAAATATAAATACTCGCTTAATTCGAAAAGAAATTGTGTTTTTCTTGAAAATCAAATCCTGCGCTCTTATTTATATTAGATACCCAGGTTGAGAAATGGTCCATCATTGTTCGAATGCTTTTATATGCTGAGAAGCGTAGCAGTCAAAGATATAATGTGCCAGTACATCTTGTGTACATGTTACGGCTAAAACCCGAAATGTGGTGATAACTAGGTTTAGCCAGCTAGAACTATGTGTAACCCATTGGCTGTTGGTTAGTCTTAGGTGTAACCTATACATTCATGGCCAAACTTAGTATAAGCCGGTTGCATTCGGTTAAAACTAGTTCCAACCAACTTGATCCGGCTAGACCTAGACAATCCTTAGTGGTTAAAACGTTACAAGTAGGTTTAGACCAACGAATTCGAATACGGGTAGAAGACGTAAACATAGAATTTGTTTTGATCAATCATCTAGAGCGACACACAAACTCGAGTGGCTACCAGTTTTCTGCGATGTTACCACATCTTGTTCAAAATCAACAACTGCCTTCACGCAATCGATTGATGATAGCACAGAGGAGTGCAAAAATAATCGTAAAATGTTATAAGTGGCGATAACTAAATAAAGAGTATTAATTTGTCTCCAATATGTTGTATTTTCAAACAGAACAACTCATGTGTATGTACAGTTATAAATTGTTTGTAACACCTGCGCCGAAAAGAAAGACTTTGGTTTCAATACCCTAATATATTTCATATTATAATGTTTCCACTAACTGATGCAGTGTCATCATAGCTTCAAAACCTACCAACTTCACGTAACTCGCAAAAATTAAAACACATAATTAAAAAAAAAAACAACACAGCGATTTTCGAAAACGTCTTGAGCTATTCTTATTCTGGTTTCGTACTCAGCATTTCAGAATACATCTGAAATAAGCACCGAAGACAATTAAGAAACATGTATTGTTATATCCCGGTGATATTTCCTGAAAAACTAATATTTGCGTACGTGGCAACGCTGTAGTCGCGAATTAAGAACAGCTGGGCTGATTTCTGGTGTTTTATGCTGCGGCTTTGTGCAATTGAGGGGAAGCTTTATTTTGCTCATGTTGTCATGTTTACGTGTGTTTTCCGTAATATTTTCATAGAGTTTTGAGGATTGCAGAGGAATATATAGCATTTTGGACTATTCTCGAAGATTGCAAAATGTTGCATGTTATGTAAAAAGCAGTTTAAGCGCGATAAAAGCAGATGTCTACTAGGTATACAATTTTCGTTCAAGGTCAAATTTTGTGTAAACAATAATCTGTTGATGTTGCTAACAAACAATCGTTTAACATCATATGGGGTTGGCTTCTTCTAACATAGTCCGAATTCATTGGTTTAGACGGTTTTTTTTTAAATAACCCCCCTGATACAGCTAGTACATATACTTCATGGGCAGCAGTAACCATTTTCTTACTTAGCAAATATCACGGATTTTATATACATTGCAAACCAACACTCGCAATCATTCAGATGAGATCCCTAAGCTCAACCAATTTTATTTCTGTCTACAGTGTACTTTTGCCATCAGGAGGAGCTTATTCGACATACAGGGTGGCCCAACAAAAATGTCGCACCCCCATTTGTGACTTGGTACATTTTGGGAAAAACGCTCGGACGAGTCAATTTCATCTATAGCCGTACAATACAGGGTGATCCAAAAATAAGATATTACCTTACACTTTAGATTTTTAGTAACTTTTGTATAATAAAATTTATACCTATCTTCAATCATTGTGAAGTTATTTGGGTTTATAATGAAATACTGAAAATAATGGAATGAACGGCAAAAAATAATCATGAATACCAGCAAAAAACTTTCTTTCATTTCAAATTGTTAAGTTACCTACCTAGTTGTGATAAATATTGAACAATGAGTTATTCAATTCAAGACAGGGTAGAAATAACAAAACTGAATTACTAAAATGGGAGCATTGCAAGAGCTACTCCCGCTTGTTTAATGCGTTAAATCCATACAAAAATATTAACGATAAGTATGTAGCTAAGTTGATAAGAAAATTTAAAGAAACGTTTAATCAACAATGCGATTCTGTCATTTAATATTTGTTTCTCGAATGAATGTACGTTCTATTTGGTGCTGTAAATATATACTAAGTGACATATAAATCCGAACACCCAGTTTAAATTGTTTTATTTTAATAAAAGTTGGTGAATGTATTTATCTTACTGTAAATAACAAGTGAAAAAATTTTCAGCCTTATCAGTTGGACATTCCGGTTTTTATTCTGCTTTTTTTTAATTCACTAACGCTCTAAAAAATAAAATTTCAGCCGCAGTAAAGAATCAACGTTGGCGGATTTTGGTTCTTGACATCCTTTACGATCGGTTTCGATGCCTAGAGTACGGAGACCTGTACGATTTCGTCAACTTAGTGCTGGACTTTCTTTTCGGGCAATTGCAGTTAGAGTGCAAAGAAGTGTAGACACTGTGGTTAGGTGTTGTCAGGCATGGCTTCGAGAAGGCCGTACGCAAAGAGCAAGGGGCACTGGACGCCGCCGTAGAACAACAGACCGTGAAGATCGCCGCCTAAGATTATTGGCCTTAAGGGACCGTTTCTCCACTACCAGGTCCATTGCAAATGAATGGTTTGCAGAACACGGAAGACCCTATTGGCATGCGAAGTGTTTACCGACGAATGAGAAGTTTTGGCTTGTTTTCATACCGGCCACACTGGGTTGTCCCTTTAATTCGAGAACACCGACGTAATCGCCTTGAGTGGTGCAGACAACGGTCACTCCGGGATCATTAATGGAACAGTATTGTCTTTAGTGACGAGTCTCGATTTTGTTTAGGCATGCACGATGGTCGTGCCAGGGTTAGAAGGCGACGTGGTGAAAGGAGGAATCCACAGTTTTTTGTTGAAAGACATGTTCATCACACTGTTGGAATTATGGTTTGGGGTGCTATAGCTTATGGTTCCAGGTCACCTTTAATCTTCATCGGAGGTAACATGAACGCGCAGCGTTATATCCACGAAGTTCTAGAACCCCATCTTTTACCCTATCTTGACACCCTGGCAGATCCAACTTTCCAACAAGATAATGCCCGTCCACATGTTGCAAGAGTCACAATAGACTTCTTTCAACATAATGATGTCACATTGTTACCATGGCCACCAAGATCTCCCGACTTATCCCCAATTGAGCATGTGTGGGATATGATGGGTAGGAGATTGCTCAATTTGCAACGTCCTCCTCAGACTCTAGAAGCACTTCGAGAGGAGTTGGTGGTTGCCTGGAATGAGATACCACAGGAGGACATTGACCACCTGATCAGAAGTATGTCTAGGCGCGTTGGAGAATGCGTAGCACATCAGGGTGCATCCACACATTATTAAAGGTCAAAGGGCTTTAAAGCAGTGCAATCATTTTGAAATTTCTATCATTTACTTATTATGCTTCATTAAGTACTTATACAAAATTTTATTAAAATAAAATCATTTAAACTGGGTGTTCGGATGTATATGTCACTTAGTATTTATACATAACTGTCGATATTAAAGTGACTCGAATCCACATTTATTTCGAGAGCTACACTCGCCTTATCCTGACAACATGTGTGTGCCGGCATTTTCGGAAATCATATTGTAGTATCTTTTTTTATTCCTGGAAGCTTGACGGGCGAGACGTACTTGGACATGTTACAAATTACAATAGAGCCACGAATTACCGGAATAATAGAAAATGAGGTTAGTTATAACGAAAATTACATTGATTTCCAACAAAATGCTGCACCGCCGCACTATGTGGCGCCAGTACGACTGTTTTTGTACACCCATTTCCCGATTCAGTGGATCGGCAGACGAGGCCCCATCGAGTGGCTGCCAGGATCTCCGGAGCTCCTTTAGATTACTTTCTTTGGGAGCATTTGAAAAGTAAAGTTGTTAGTACGAAGCCAGATTCTATTTAAGATCTTCGTCAGCGAATTACGGCCAATAATTACCATCTTCAGCACTTATTACCACATTGACCTACCTCTTTATAGCAAATTAATTTTTACTTTAACTTTGATGTGCGTGTAAACTGTACGTTGTTTTTGCTTTTTTAATACTTGGAGACATATATTTAATTTTACAGTCTTGTTACTATGGGAACTATATTGATATATATAGTCCCTTATCATCACAATTTGTAGAATTTTATTATAAACCCAAATAGCTTCACAACGATTGAAGACAGGTATAAAGTTTATTATACAAAAGTTACTAAAAACTTCATGGAAAATCTAGAAATCAAAAAAGTGGGTTTCCATTTAAAAATCTAAAGCGTAACGCAATATCTTATTTTTGGATCACAGCTATATATGAAAAGACGTCCCCTAGAAATCAAAATTGACGTGTCGGAGCGTTTTTTCCAAAATATACCAGGAGAGTCACAAAATGGTGGTGCGACCTTTTTGTTGGGCCACACTATATAACGACCTTTCAAATTATGTATGACGCTATTTCGTCTGGCCCGAGTACCAGAAACCATGTATTTTGACTCGCCATCCTTAGCTGAATTAAAACTTACGACAGCTCGCAATCTCGTTCGCGCCTCGAGAACTCTAACCAGCTGTGCAGTCGTTGTCACGTTTCCCGGAGTCGTTGGCGTTCTGGTGGTTGAGACCGATGGTACAGCCGTGATCGTCGGTATTTCCAGATGTTCAGTTTCCGCTTTGGTGCCGTTGCTCTGGTGGTTATTAACAATGCTGTCGATATCGAATGTCGTGAAATGCCTGCTGATGGATGACGGTGGTTGTTGTACCTCTGGTGCAGTGCCTGCTGTCGACACAACCACTGCAGCCTGTCTGTGAGTCGTTAGTGCAGATGGAATAGGCTTCCTGGCTAGAGCAAGTTATTGTATAATAAGAATGACTTCATAGAGAGTGGAATGAAGAAGAATGACTACACATAACCTATGTATGTCAATGTTCCGTGATGGACATTGAAGTACCAGCATTACGAACATTTCGAAAACAATAAATAACAATTTAAAAAAAGTAAAAACACGTTTTTATAGCAAACCGAACTAAAAAGTAGAAAATAATTTTTTATTACAAAGAGTTTATACAGGGTGCGAGATCTTTTATGTCGGTATGTAAACATGAAATAACTTTGAAAACGAAAAAATGATTTCTATATATCGGGTATTTTTATTAAATATGGTCCTTTTTGAACACATCATCTATCAAGTGGACACCTTTATTGGTCAAAACAAAATGTGCCCATTTTGCTGCGTTTTCCATTACTTTTTCGAGCATCTCTGGTGGTATAGCAGCGATTGCGGTACGAATGTTTGCCTTGAGTTCTTCAGTGGTCTGGGGCTTGCTGGCGTACACTTGACTTTTCAAATAATCCCACAAGAAGAAGTCCGGTGTGGTTAAATCTGTAGACCTGGGTGGCCAGTCAATGTCACCTCTTTTTCACATCAGACGTCCAGGGAATTTTCGTTGTAGAAACTGGATTTTTTCATTTGCAGTGTGCCATGGCGCACCGTCTTGTTGAAACCAGTAACCATCAAGACCTTTTTCACGCATTTGTGGGCAGACATAATGAGCAAACATCGACCGCTATCGATTTCCATCGACTGTTTCGTTTTCGATGAAGAAAAATGGACCAATGGTGGTTTTGGCGCAAACGCCGGCCCAAACAGTCACGTTCCGGTCATGCATCGGCATTTCGTGGATCTCATGTGGATTTTCCGTCCCCCAAATGCGGCAGTTTTGCTTATTAACGCCGCCAGACAGCGTGAAATGGGCCTCGTCGGTCATCACAATTTGCTTCCAAAAATCAGGTTCAGCATCATCCATGCGAGCGACTGTTTGGACGTATTCCAACCGACGTGGACGCTCAGCTGGCAATGTTTTTTGTATTAACTGCACCTTATAAGGAAACAAATGCAAACCATCCTTCAAAATGCGCCACAACTTGGTTCCATCGATGGCAAAATGCTGAGCGCGATGACGATACGACACTTTTGGGTTCTGGGCAACGCTGTCTCTGACCGCTTCAACCAATTCATTGGAACGTCTTGGTCATTGATGAACGGTATGTTGATGATCTCCCACTGTCCCGTACTCAAGAAAATTCGAAACCAAACGACGGATAGTGTTGTCAGACGATGCTTGTTTGCCACGATATTTTCGACGATATGCACGTTGCGTTAACACAACTGAACGACGATTTTCAATGTACATTGTGACTATTTCGGCGCGTTGTTTTGGTATAAAGCGATTCATGACTAAAACTGTAGTAAATTGACGTTTCAGAAACACGTATAACCAAATCACTCGGTTGGTAAATATCAAACTCATTCGCTGTTTCAATACCGACATAAAAGATGGCGCAACCGGTATTACATTAGTAGATGGTCGAACAATCAATCATAATTAATGACCCCAAAACAAAAGTTAAGTTATTAGCAGAATAATTCGATTCAGGGTAAAAAGCATGGGGTGCTTGGTATATTAAATGTTACAATCATTCTATTGGCAACTATCTATGAGAGGAGAGTTATGAAAATATACACGGTGATGCATTTGAAATTTTTGAGAAAAACTACAATTTGCGTTTTTGGCCATCCTGTATGAGCAAAAATTAAAATTCGTAAAAGTAACAAATAAGGTGTGTAAGATGGTGTGTAAGTTTTTTTATACAAAATTCAGCACACCAAATTTAAAAATGCCGGACTGAGGGGTTGCCGAAGTCTGGGGTTTTTCTAGACAAAGCTTCTTATATCTCAGTAGCTAAAATTACCAAAACCCCATAGTATGTGGTATCAACTTTCTTCTTTTGAATTGGTTTATCCAAATATGTAATAAAATCACAACTTTGATATGTAGATCGAAATTGGGCCACCCTGTATAATGGCCAATATTTTAAAAATGTGCTCTCAAATGTCATGTATAACATCCCATAAATAGATTTTCCCAAAATGTATTTGTTTATGAGTAATATTCCGTCCACACATGGATGCGTCACCCTGTCCAAATAGTGCTCAATATCTTTGTTACTATCAGAGTTGCAGAAAAAAGTTAAATACAAAAGTTGTAGGCAGAGCTAAAGGCTACAAAATTAAAATTTTTAGCTATACAGAGTGTCCTATAAATTAGTGGCAATATAAACTTTTATTTTTTAAATGGGACACCCTGTATTTCTGTTGATTTTTAGAAGCGCCTTTTCTTGGAAATTCTGCCAATGTATGGTTTCGGGGGTTTGTACTACGTATTTCGGAATATATGGCCTTTTTTTCGTTAAAATCATTATGCATTTTACTTTCCGTATCTTAAACAACACTTTAGATAAAATCTGTTTTATTATACCGAGTGATGGAAACTGTGATGGACATTCATATCCACGTTTTTTCTGTACATATTTCATTCGAGACATACAAGGTGAGTCAAAACAGAAAGATGTAAATTTCTCGAAAAATTAAATCAAACAGCCTGTATGTTACAGCTTACAACTCTATCCATCGGGTCTCCTTTGCTCTTATTAAGCATTGCCTATACCCAAGTCTAATAATTTATGAGATATTTCATGTTTTAGAAGTGAAAAACCTTAATTTTGGAATTATTAAAAAAATATCTATTAGTCATCTTATTAGCCCTTTCGCGTCGGGAGCCGGTTATATCCGAAAAAAAGGTAGTGTCTGGTATACGGAAAACGTATATTTACGCAGCGACAGAGGCCCCGGTTAACTACGGGAAACGTGTTGATCAACATATGTCGGTATTTGTTTGTACCAAATACTATGCATACAAGCGAAAATTTTGGGGAACAGGATTTCAGATAACAGTGGCACAGGTGGCATCGTCAAGACAGGTTGCAGCACGTTTATTTGACCATTATTCTTCTAACGCGAGTACTGATACTTTACGTTATACTTATCTTCGAAATGTCTCATTGTGAGTTAACAGATGAAGAGTTGTTACAAATATTACATAATAGCGATTCTGAGGGCGATTTCAATGGCGATACCGAGGAATGGGAAAATATCCGATCAAGAGCAACACGATTGTTGAACAAACTAATACAGGGTGATTCACAAGTCGTGACAAAAAATGAAACAACCGCAATTTGAGGGAGGTCTCCTATGTGACATTTTTTCATCGAGGACTTCATTAAAAAGATACAGGGGGTGTTGAAGTTGCTACAAATAATTACTATTGTGTTTTTTCCTAAAGTGCAGTAATCGTAAAAATAAAAATAAAACAAATTAGATCATTCATGAAGAGCCGAGATACAATTAGTTTCAAAATAATCTTCCCGCAGTTAGAGGCCACGGTGTCCAGCATACTATTCAAGAGGGACTGGAAGTGATTAATTTGGCGTTGGATGATCCTCGTACAAGTACTAGGCGGATTGCAGCCTAGTTACCATGTTCCCAAAGTCTTGCGTGAAGAATTTTAAGTCGTGAAGTTTTACATCTTTACAATCGGCAAAATGTGCAATGTTTGCAGCCCGGCGACGAAGTGCAAAACTGTGTTAAAATTAAAATATGAAAATGTCTTTAAATTATCCCTATTTCACTAAAGAATCTAATAAAAAATACAAAGACGTATAATCATTCCTAAGGGAAGCGGATAGATCAGCGCGTCATAAAATGTTGATTTGGAACGGGAAGCGGATAAATCAGCAAGCGGCGTTTTGCCTGTTAGGACAGACAGATTTCGTAACAAGATCCTCCGTTGCGAAAGGGTTAATAAAACAAAAAAATCTATTAATTAAAATATGTCGCTGAGTGGTTAAAAAAATGTTATTAAACACTTACATACAACGGCTACTATAACAAAAAACACTATACTTTTCTCTGCTAATGTAAGAATTAAAAATAACAAAAACTCTGTAATAGTTGTGACAATGTGACGATGATAACTAACTAAATCTATTTATCTACTTAATTAATCGTTCAAAGTGACCACCACCAAGATCAATCCATTTCTTAACATTTGGTGGTGAATGCTTTTAAAAACTTCCCGTATCCTGTCATGCATATCAGCTCTTGTCGTAGCTGGAGTCTTATAGACCTCTTCTTTAACGTAACCTGAGAAAATAGTTCATTTTTCTTAAGTCGGGAGGCCTGGGTGGCCATTTGACTGGCCATGCTTGCCTTATCCACCTCTGAGGAAATTCAGTATTTAAATAATTATTTATTGTTTATGTGTGTTGTGCAGGAGTTCCATCATGAAGAATCCACATTCTCTCACTTGTACGTTCTGGTATATGTCTTAAAAGATGTGGTAAAATATTTTCCAAAAGGTCCAGATGAACTTATCCGTTTAAGGTAGCATTGAAAAAATGTGGCTCTATAACAAAATTGCCAATTATGCCATCCCAGACGTTTAATGACCATATTTCCTTGCTGTGCGTTAACATTGCATATGGCTGATGGCTGGCATAATGGTAGAAATTGTGCTGTCGACATATCCATTTTTATGGAAAAATTATTAGTCAGCATTTTCAAAAAAATCTTGGTGGCGGATTTTTTCTAGTGCTCAGCCACAAAACGTCAGACCAAGTCGGTAATCGTTTTCGCTTAACTCTTGGTGCAGTTGTATATGGTGGTAAGCGCATTTTGCTTTTTTGAAGTATACTGCGCACGGATGATTCAGTTACGCGAAGCATAACTTGAAACACATTCTCTTCCTGCAAAACTTAAGTTTATGACAGGTTTTTCAAAAAAGCATGGCCAACCTATATCCTAATAATTCCAATATTATTATGGTTTTCACTTATTAAACATGGAATGCCTCAAAAAATACTAGGTTTAGATATAGGGAATGCTTTTATGTTTAACATTTTTCTGCAACGCAAATAGTAACGAAGATATTGAGCTTTGACACACTATTTGGACACCCTCTATAGCAACTCCCTATTTTGCCAACCGTCAAGGTTAAATAATTCTTAATTTATCGGATGCTGTAAAGCGGCTATACGGTTGCTTTTTGGCGCATTCATTACAGACTAGCTAGTGACAACCAAAAGCGTATTTGTCAGAACCTACCAGAACCCACAGCAGCTTCGCTGATAACAGTCCTAGCGGGTGGTCAGGCAGTTTCTCCCCCGCTTTCTATTAGTTGCGGTTCTACTTGCTGTGGCTGCTGCTGTTGTAACTGTTGGTGCTGTTGCGACTCTTGGTGCTGTTGCGGTTGCGCATCTTCCACCTGGGATCGCTGAGATGGGGAGGGAGGCTCGGGGGTGGTCAGTACTGATACCGACATCGGCACTGGGGAGGCGGACACCGCCGGACTTCGGGGTTGTTTGTTCGGAGTGTGGGGTTTCGGAGAGGAGCGTGGCTGACTCTGACTAGACGGGGTCAATGGCGGCAGCGGAGGAGCTAGATTTATCGCGTTTATCATTGGACCTGCAATAATAAAGAAATTTCAATAATACAGACCGTAACAAAAGTTTGGAACGCATCGAATATCTGACGAATGACTCAACTATTTCTTTTTAAAAACCACGGCGGAAACTGATAAGTTTTGTTTTTCTTATGAAATGCTATATATTTTATTCGATATATGTATTCTGGATACTTTTTATTAAACAACAACAATAAAAGGTATTTTTTTTACCTAAGCAACGACCGGTTTCGAAAGTAATTTCCTGTCATTTCTGACATTCAAAAGTCCATTGAGTTTTGTTAGTGGAGTTATTTATTTAACTGAACCCGAGAGAATAGAAATTCTAATGATTCTGGGTTATGGCGATCGTCGACACACACTGCAAGAAGTTTGCGATATTTTTAATGACAAATATCCCAACCCGAAACCAATAACAAGGTTTACTGTTGGAAAAGTTTTGAGGAAATTTTAAATAACAGGACATGTAAAGGATGTTCGACGATCTGGCCGTCTCAAAACAGCCACTGACGAAAATAAGGCTTTGAATATTTTAGAGAGCGTAGCGGAAAACCCCCACCTTTCTACTAGAACACATGTCGAAGATAACAATACATCTCACATGTCTGTGGAACGCATTTCAAAGACGGAAAAATTCCATCCTTACACAGCCACTTTGGTTCATGAGCTATCAGACGATGACTTTGGCAGGCGTTTACAATTATGTGAGACTATGATGGACATGTGTAATAGAAATCAACATTTTTTGCACGAAGTGATGTTTTCGGATGAGTCACGTTTTTCTTTAAACGGAACTCCTAATCGCCCTAACTGCCGCTATTGGGCCAGCGAAAATCTTCATTGGGTACGGAAACGTCATAAGATTATCGAGCCATTTTTCATGGAAGAAAATTGCTGAAAGATATTTGCATCTTTTGAGGAATCACGTTGTTTTTTGGGACGCAATCGAAAGTGTTGGCAGGCACGAAAAAACTCTTCAGATAAGATTTTTAGGTATTTATGAGACCCACAGAATGAGACCACACGTAAAAAGATCCGACATAGTAAAAAAAAATTTCAGCATGAATTTAGTGTGAACGTGTGGATTGGTATCTACCGTAATCGACTATTTGGACCCTACCTTTTGCCTGCAAGGTTAAATGCTGCGACCTTCTTGGAATTTTTAAAGGCTGAACATGAAAATATGTGGGATGATGTTATGTTAGATTTAAGAAGATTGGCCTGGTTCCAGCTTGATGGTTGTCCAGCTCATTATTCGAGAATAGTTAGAAACTGGCTGGACGAAAATTATCCAGAAATATGGATCGGCCGGGGAGGACCAGTCGCCTGGCCTCCACGATCCCCTGACCTAAATCCATTAAATTTGTTTGTGTGGGGATTTCTAAAAGAAAAAGTGAACCAGACTCCCGTAACCACAAGAGATATGCTAATAGACAGAATCAGGAATGCATGTGATGAAATAAGGCCTTATTTGAATAATGCTATACCACGTTCGATCATTCGTAGATGTGAATTGTGTATTGAACAATTGGGTTTACATTTCGAGCAACTACTTTAGATTTTGTATGTTTGTCCTAACTATCCAATAACATTTTAGTTGTAAATAATTAATTTAATTTGTTAAAAATAATATTGGAAAATAATATTCTGTTTTTTGTGTTTATTTGGAGTTAGGAATTATTGCTGTGTCTAAAAAACACAATCTAAACGATCATCTTAATTACTTGTAATGCCCAAATCGAAAATGTAAAAAAAAAATATTATTTTCCCATAAATAATTAAAAATGCATCGAACCTTAAAAATCGAAATATCTCAAAAACGGCTAACTATAACGAAAACTCACAGAAGAGCTTTTTTATGTTGAAAAGTGCGAAGAATCAGTTTTTTTATTCAAAAAGCAAAAAATTGCACTAAGAAAATTTTTTTCGGTCATTTTAATATACTACAGGTACAGTAGAGAGCGTCCTCTAGCGGCTACAGTAAAACTATGCCTATGGTTCGTTTTGTCGTACCAAAAAACCCTTGTATACCAATTTTCACTGTTATACATCAAATATTGTTCGAAATATTTAAAAAAAAACTATTTTAGAAAGTAAATTTAAACACCCTGTATTTCGGAAGCCACGCATTTTTCGACCCATGTTTATATAGACTTTATGCATTAATTTTAAAAGTTCTATCGAATCTTAAAGTTATGCAACAATAAACTGAAATACCCTGTATAGGGTTCGTTCAAAGGTCATTTTATAGCAAAATACACGAATTTAACTTGCCGACATGAATTTCAAACCATTCCGAAAGATAATTGTTATTTTTATGTGAAAAGAGAAGGGAATAAACAATTAGAAATTCCCAAAAAATTCTTGACCAATCGACACCAATTTTATTATCGTCATTTAGAAGTATGAAGCCTACGAATTTGAAGAATTTCAAGTATCTGCGTGAAACTATCGTCGCTTCACCAAGTACGAAAACCTGCATCTTGCCTCGGTTTTCGGCCATAACTTTTTTACTATTAGTGTTTACGTGTGGTCTCATTCTGTAGGTCTCATAAATACCTAAAAATCTTATTTGAAGAGTTTTTTTGCTCCTGTCAACACCTTCTATTGAATCCCAAAAAACACCATTTCTCATTCCTTGTTGTAGAATAAAAAGTTTTCCCACAAAAATTGGTGTCCCCATTTTATGCGTCCATGTTTTAAATGCCCCCTTGAACAACTTGAATAAATAAAACCGGACTTTACAATTCTTTCGGGAACATTTGCTAATATGATTAGACTATGTCTCAGATTTGGCGGAAGTATTTCCCAATCCTGTTTTCTTTTAGTAAATAACAGAGTGCCCAACAATAGAATATGACTTCAACAAGATGGTGCACCTCCGCATTACACTCGAAATGTTCGCGAAAGAGGTACGATTGAATGGCCACCTCGGTCTCCTGACCTCACACCCCTCGATTATTTTTTTGTGGGGGCACTTAATATAGTATACAAAACCAAACCATTTGATTTGGAGGAACTAAAACAACGAATAGCAACGAAAAGAAAATGAATGCAGAAGAAACTAGGAAAGCGGATGGCTTCAAAATTATCTAGACGCATTTCCCCAATATCTAGTATATATTAAACATTTGATATTTTTATTTTTCCCTTGTTTCCTTCGAAATATTAAATACACTATTTTAATCAATATTAGAATTTGTATCCTCTTGGTATTAGTTAAATAAATCATATTTTTATTAACTCTACTAACAAAACTCAATGAACTTTCAAATGTCAGAAATGACAGGAAATTATTTTCCATACCGGTCATTGCTATGTGGAAAAAATACCTTTTATTGTTATTTCGAAAACCATCAGATCTACGTCAAAGTATGTTTAACAAAAAGTATTCAGAATTTCTAGCAGAATAGAAATATTAAATGTATAGCATTCCATAAGAAAAACAAAAGTTGCTATCAGTTTCTGAAAAACTGATTTGACAACATCGCGGATATCATCAACGGTACGGGTATTATGTAAACAACCTTTAAAACGTCAAATAGAACCAATAAAAGGTCATATTGCAGATTAGGTCGTTTTTAGGGTGCAAATAGCTCATTCCACGTTTGCTTGTTATGACCGCAGTGAGCGTCCATCTATGGAGGGATGTCTCAACTACACGCATTGTTGGTTACATATGTTTTGTGAAGCCGAGTAGTCTGTATTTGTCATCTCTGAAAAGATTTGAAACAAAGAAAGTTGGTTGAATAGTAAGATTGCATCGGGAATATCTGGATGATTGTGTGTATTCGTTTGCATAAGTATAAAATCAGTGATATTTTCTGGGTGAAAAAGTCATTTCTGAATATGCTGCCAATGAAGTATACCTATTGGCTGTGCCCAACGGGTTATTTATATGTTGTCCTTTCTGAAGATAGGTTATGTTCCAAGTTATAAATTACGATTTTTAAGGTTGTTTTTGTTTTTTCAAAAACTTTGAGGAGTACTACGAGAAACCGCCACCGCGCCCGCGTTGCGTGCAAGTAAGCCACATCACAGCCAAAGTAGTAATGACGCATCACACATCAAACATTTTCGCAATGGCTCACATCTAGGCGCTGATTTGTATTTTCTATTATCACCGCAAAATAAATTTCTATAGGATTTAAATGACTGGAAATAAAAAATAATGTAATAACATTTTCACTTTCATAAATATTCCTGTCTGTAGCATATTTTCTCATCTGTTCCTTCACCAACCTCATTTTCCAATGGAATTATCATCAACACATATTATTGCAACACAAATCCTCACTATGCATTGCCGTTTCCTTCTAGCCATAGTATAGAACTTACAGCTTAGTCCTTCAGTAATGCCAACTCGGAAGACGATTTTACATCACACACAGAGCCAAACATTGATAACTAATAAGCATCACGACGTTTAGGTAACACGTACAACAAAAAGAGTTCAGAATAAGTGTCCATCAGATAGTGCTAAGTTAACATCTTGTAGAAAAACCTACACAATGTCACAAAAAACCAATAAAATGTCAAAAAAAGACATAATGTCACTTTTCAAGATACGTAATACCGATACGGGTATCATGTAAAAAACCTATAAAACGTCAAAAAAAAAACCTGTAAGATGTCATCTTGCAAACTAGGCAGTTTTTAGGGCGCAGTCATTCCAAGTTTGCCCACTAGGATCGTTGTGAACGTCCTTCTATGGAGGAATCACTTAAGTAAACTACATGCATCATTGGTTGCATATGTTTTGTAAGGCCTAATGGTCTTTGTCTGTAGTTTTTATCTCTAAGAAGAAATTTGGTTGAATAGCAAGATCGCACCTGGATGATTATGTGTATTGGTTATTATATATAATGAAGTTTATCTTTTGGCTGTGCCCGACGGGTTATTTTTATGTTGTGCTTTCTGAAGAGAGGTTATCTTCAAAGAAATAAATTACGAAAAACTGAGGAGAATTACGGGAAATCATCACCACGCTCGCGTTGTGTGTAATTACTGTTAGCATGTATATGGCTTGTAATTCTACTGTGTACAGTGAATATAATTATTTCTTATCTCTCACATTTTTGAAATTCAGCAAATTTGTATATGTCATTTCCAGAATGGACAAGAAAAGTGGCTGCGCAACTAATTTCTAGCTTTGAATCTCAATTAAGTGTATTTGAGACAAGAACCCAATGTAATTAACATCAACACATACAACATACAGCTTAGACCTCCAGTAATGCCATCTCGGAAACAGATTTTACATCACATCAAAGCCAAAGATTGATAACAAGCCTCATGACGTTTAGCCTACACGTACAACTGAGTGCTAAGTTAACATCTTGTAGAAATACCTACATAATGTTAAAAAACAGTATAATGTCAAAGAAAATCGATATAACGTCACTTTTCAAGATATGATACCAGTGCGGTGCGGATCCGCCGTGGTTTCGAACATAAACCTACCAATTTTTAAAAAAATTTAGATGAGTCATTCGTCAGATACTTGATGCGTTCCAAACTTTTGTTACAGTCTGTATACATTTTCAAACTTGTGACCACAGAAGTCAGAAGATCAAAGGCTTTCTCGCGAGTGCCCTTCTACCGGTACCTTTGTATTCTTTGATATTACTTACCAGAGGGTTGCATGACAGGACTCTGTCTCTGGTTAAGGTTGAGCGAGAAGGCAGAAGGGGATGCGTTGACACTAGGCGAATGCCGTTGCAAGGACGGGCTGGATCTGGGCACACTGTAGCCGGCGGAAGGTTGGCCGGGAGGCGTACTGGGTGTTAAAAATGCTGACGAAGACGGTGGCGGAGCCCCCAGTGAGCCTTGCCGGGAACTTACAGGCACAGCAGAGGATGGTAGGCCGACTTGAGGAGGATACATTCCTAGAAGAATATCGCTGTATTAGTCATCGTCTGCAGATGATATTGATAATGTTTTAGTTGAATAAATGAGCAGTCCAGCTTTAAATTGCAGTTTTAAAATTAAACAATTCACTTTAAAACAAAGATCGAACCGAAGTGCAGATATAGGCAGATTTTTAGACGAACCGGATATATCCCTTAAGCGATTTTGGAAGTTTTATCCAAGAATTTATTTTATTTCTTCAAATATTAATGAGAACATTGCAGAGAAGCACTAATGCATTTTATCAAACTAAAATATAGTATATGTTTTGTTTTAACCCTTTGTGTGCGTTCCTGTAGTGCTGCTGCTCCAACTGCCAGGCGATAGTTGCATAAAAACTAAAATTAAAGCGTTTTCCATTTATTTATTATATTTGAGCAACTTGATTTTTTATACCGATTTGTGCAAAACGTAACTCAAAGGTTGAGGAATATCTGATATTTCACCTGGTGGTTGTAGTATAGGAAGAACTAAATGTGACGGCTGACTCGCGCTTAACGAATGATGTGGCGACATCCTAGACTGCACCTTCTCCCTTTCCCTTTGTGCTCTATCCTTTTCCCTATGCAACTGCAAATCTCGTTCCAACATCTCTCTTTGTTCCTCTTCTTTTCTTAAAGCAGCTAATCTCCGATGTTGTTCTTCTTCCAATTTAAGTCTAAAATTATCAAGATATAAATATAATGTAACGTTAAAAACCTAGATAGCTTCATGAATGGACAATTGCAAATCGTGCAACCTATAGAATTTGACAATCCGAAAGACGTAATTCTACAGCAGTACAGCCAGCATAGAAGACATGAGAACACTAGCATTAGAGGATGCTGTTTTAAACACGATTGACATCTAGAAACAAACTAGTAAAATTGCGGTAATGCTTAATGTTTCCCATTTTCTTATTTGGAAAATACTACATATTTAAAAGGTTCAAACACTACTGCCGCGTGATTTTCGATTGCATTTAAATTTTAAATCAAAATACTCTTTACCGATGAAGCTACTTTTTTCCGAAATTCCATTCGCAGTTTACATAATAATCATGTATGGGCTTAAGGAACAGTTTTCTGTGAATGTGTGGGCTGAAATAGTTGGAGATTTCCTCACAGGGCCGTTCTTCCTTCCAGGACGACTGGATGGACTATCGTATCTCACTTTCTTGAAAACGATTTGTCAATTTTGCTCGAGGATATACCTCTTTTATTAAGAGAAGAAATGTGGCACATGCATGATGGTGCTCATACACATTTTAGCATTCATGTTAGGGAATTTCTAAATGAAGCGTTTACGATTCGCTGGACAGGACGTGAAGGGAACTCAATCTTGGCCTCCCAGGTCTCCTGATTTAAATAGTTTAGACTATTTTTTGAGGAGGCGCCTTAAGACTTTATTCTACACCAGTTCAAACTGTAGAGGAACTAAGACAGAAAACGTTACTTTCTTGCCAAACCATTAGAAATACGTCAGGAGTTTTTGAAAGGGTTCGCCAATCCATGAGAAAGAGAATTGAAGCCTGTATTCCAGCAGATGCATTGCAAAATTGCTAAAATCTCATGTGGTAGTTTGTAGGTAAGATGCGTTTTTGTTCAATTTTTATTAATTAAAGTCCATCGAATAAAATAGCCAAAATGGTTTTTATTTTTTACAAGAAAATGGGCATCGGAAGAAAAAAAGTCAAGAGGTCAAATTTGTGGCAAGTTAAATGAGGATTTCAAAAATGATTATAATTTTCTGAAAAAGCAATGGCGTACCATATGTTTTTGAAAAATTCCGGTATACATCTCGTACGGACGCCACTGGTAGAAATATTAAAGAATATTCTACATAAAAAATGCCTAGTGGTGCTTAGTAGGTGCATGTAAAATTTCATGAAAATATCTAGAACAGTATTAAAGTTATGATGAGAAAACGAATTTTTTCTTAAAATTTTAACACCTTCATATACACTTTTCTTCCTAAAATGAGCTAAGGAATCATATCCTGTATTTTTAGCCATCAATAAAATTACATCCTGTATAAGAGACAATGTAAATTTTGTTACCGACTATTTTCGGAAGATTCATGAACCGACAATTTTTGGCTAAGTGGAAACCGAGGGGCTATGGTTGTCGAAATATCGTTTTTTTTTTCATTTTTAAGCTGAATTTTCTGTAATGCCGCATAAATATCGTTACCACTTTTTTGTGTCAGAGTCCAGATCACCGAGGACTTGATCTGGTACGAACAAATCTCGCCAATAGCGGTAGCTGCTGGGCAAAAGCTAGGCTATTTGTTTAGGGCTAAGAAGTGCTTTTCACCGCATAACCTCCTCACTGTACAAAAGGCCCAGATAAGGCCTAGCCTTGAGTCCTGCTCACATGTTTGGGGTGCTGCCACCCTGACTCCATTATCCATGCTGTTTAGAGGAAGGCTGTCCGAGTGATCGATTACTCTTATCTAGCGGACAGTCTCGGGACCCATTCGCACCGATGGGCCGTCGGAAATCTAGCTCTAGACATAATTGCCCTAAATACTCACAAGCGCAACTCCTTCGAATACCAAGATGCCAATGGAAAAATCATTATTTTGGATGACGTAAAAGTATTTAACTTTGAGTAATTCCGAAATGAAGGGAAACGACGGATTCTATACGGACAATGAAGAGGAATGCCCTGACAATGTTAGATACAAACATAACGCGAAATTTGAAGATAAAATCCTTGTCTGGTGCGCAATTTCTAATAGCGGTGTATCCCAGCCTTTTTTGGGAAGAGGGAGGGTGAAGCTTTGAATAGTCAGAGCTATATTGATAACTGCCTTTCCGAATTGCTTCAGTTTGTACACGAACATTATGCTAATGACCACATCATGTTTTGGTTAGACCTAGCATCACGCCATTACTCAAGACATACCCAAAACTGGCTTCGACAAGTTAACATACCTTTTGTTCCCAAAAACGATAATCCTACAAACTTGCCGCAGGCTCACCCGGAGTTTTGGGCTTTACTGTCTAGGAAGGTTTATCATGAAGGCTGGGAAGCCCAAGATGAAGGAAAATTAAAACGGTGAATTTCCGAAAAGCTGATATAAAGTGATCTGAATTCCGTCCAGGACCTCATGAGAGACATTCGATGAAAGTTGAGTCTGGTAGAGCAGAATGGGCCACCCACATAATTCGATAGTATTGAGTTGTAATTTATGATAACTAATTAGTACTTAAATAATTCTTTTCAATAAAAAAATCCGATAAATATTTTATGCCAAAACTTTTAGGACATATGTTACGTAGAACAAAAAAGTATTCTTACCTTTCGTGCATATATAGAGGCATAGCAGTCCCAGGCAGCATATAAGGTAAATAAGGATGACCAATCGGTGGCCAAGGAGGCCGGATAATACCCATACGCTCGTAATATAAAGGATCATCTATTAAAGGTAACGAAGGATATGGTCCGTAATGCGAATAGGGCAGTTCCATGCCTACTGGTAAATGGGGTATCCTGCAAAAAAGCGGTTATAAGATTGACGGACAGGTCGACGGAAATGAGAGACGGTTTTTTGTGATGTGTACATGTCATACAATGTCCAAAACTCAAAATATCTCAATTTCGATTTCTTTCGCCAGTTTTGGCCTAGGAAATGATAAAACTAAAAGTAATTAATTATTCCATAGAAACGGAATATTTCAGAGAATTTTATAGCTCTTATAATAATTGTTAACAGGTTGCGATTAAAGAAAAAATGCATTTTTGACAACAAAAATTGATAACATTGTCTCAGTGAAGTTGGCCCAACGCTCTAAAACATGATATTTGTGAATTTATTTGAGTACTAATTAAAATTTTGTTTCAAATATAATATTTTTGGTTTCTTTAAATGTTTATGGAAAGATAACAAAACCCGCGGCTATTTTCGAAACTGTCTTCTTTGCAAAATGGTTTGTGTGTAGCAAAATACATGATGGAGACAACTCATGTTGAATGGTCTGTTTATTCGCTATAAAATAAAGGTAAGCTTTGTAAAACAAATCAATCAATCAGTTTACGTTGCCAAGAAGTTGATTTTTGATGTTTAAATCAACTGTCAATGCATTGTTAACAATTAAAAATGGCTCGTGGTAAAGCTGTTTCTGTAGAAATAAGAAAAGTGATCATTCACTTGCATTTAAAAAGCCACAATGCTTCCCAAAACGCTGACAGATTTAACAAATCATCGGGATACACAGTTCGAAATATCATTAAATTAGACACAACGGGATCTGTGGCTCAAAAACCCAGAACTGGAAGTCACTCGCGTTATTCCAATACCAACTCAAGAGACTCAAAACGGATTATCAAGGAAATTAGGCTTGCTAATTATAACGAATTAAAATTATTATGGAATTAGGCAACCACAAAAAAGTCTTCAAGAGCAACTTGTCACAGAGATGTCCAAAAACTGGGTTTTAAAATTTACAAGGTAGGCTTGGATTATTTTTTTATTATTCGTTTTAATTCAGTATTTCTAGGTAAAAGATTAGTTATTACTGACAAAGAGTTAGATGAAAAACAGACTAGCGTGGGCAAAAGAACACAAATTATGGTATCCGAACCAATGGAACTCCATTATTTGGAGTGATGAAGCCAGATTTGAAGTACGTCTTTTAAGTTTTGCATATAGAAACATAGTAGGCCGCGCGGATCGAACGTCAGTACTGAATATTAACCTCACTCTTTCTTAAATTTAAATTCAAAGTTTCACAACAATACGTGCAGTGTTCTCACTACAGTGAATTTTTGAGTGGCACCAAGTCATTAGAAAAATGGAACTCAACCGAGAACATTTTCGCGCCATAATTTATTATAACTTTCAGAGACAATTATCGCAACAAGAATGCCTTGCTGAGTTACTATCTGTTTTCGGAAACGAAGCGCCACATCAGTCGACAATTTCCCGTTGGTATGGTGAATTCAAACGTGGACGGGTGAGTCTTAGCGACGATTCCAGGGTGGGTGCACCAAAAACGTCAGTCACTCAGGAAAATGTCGATGCTGTGCGCAAACTCATCACTGCAGATAGACATGTGACATATCGCGAGATTGAGGCGTGCTTGAAGATCTCAAAGACCTCAATTCAAAAAATTTTACGTGAAGAATTAGTAAGAAAATTAGTTTCTCGTTAGATACCCCACCTGTTGACTGAAGAGCAGAAAGCAGCCAGGGTTAATTGGTGTCAAAAAACGCTTGACCGTTTCCGGAAACTCAAAAAATGTGTACAGCATGGTTAGTGGTGATGAATCGTGGATTTACTGTTATCAACCAGAAAATAAACGACTGTCGGCTGTTTGGGTGTTCTAAGGTGAAGAGAAGCCAACAAAAGTCATCCGTTCTCGAAGTGTTTCGAAAAAGATGATCGCGACATTTGTGTCAAAAGCTGGTCATATTGCAACAATTCCTCTTAATGAGCAAAGAACTGTTTCTGCGGATTGGTATACCACCATTTGTTTGCCAAAAGTCATCACCGAGCTTCGAAAAATCAACCCCGAAAGAAGAATCATCTTCCACCAAGACAATGCAAGCTCGCACACAGCCCAAAAAACAATTCAGTATTTAACGGAAGAAAACGTGGAATTATTGGACCATCCTCCATATAGTCCCGATCTAAGTCCTAACGATTTCTTTACTTTTCCGAAAATTGAAAACAGAATGCGTGGTCAACGGTTCCAGTCACCACAACAAGCAGTTGACGCATTCAAAAATGCCGTTTTGGAACTGCCAGCAAAGGCGTGGAATAAGTGCTTCGAAAATTGGTTCGAGCGCATCAGATTTGTATTAATCTTCCTGGAGAATACTTCGAAAAACAATAGAGTCATTTAAAACTACCTACCGTGTTGTTTTATTTCCATGTGCAAAACTTAAAAGATATCCCTCGTATGCGTTGGTGAAAGTAGGAGTCGAAAGAATGAGAGAACGTGTTTTTTGGATGCAGTCGAAAGTATTAACAAGAACGCAAAAACTCTTCAAGATTTTTAGGTATTTATGAGACTTATAAAATGAGACCACACGTAAAAAGGTCCGACTAATAGCAAAAGTTATGGCCGAAAAACGAGGCAAAATGCAGATTTTGGTACTTTATATTTATATTTCATATTTCCTACAGGTAAAACCCAATTACAGGAAAAGCTCAAATACATTAACAAAAAGAAAATAAAGAGACACATTGAAAAATTAAACTTAGCATCAATTGGCATAAGTAAGCTCAGAGAACAATCAATGACTTATAGCAATTTATGATTGATTTACAGCTGTCATTATAAATATCGCACATATCACAAATAAAGTTCATCAGACTGCACATTACATAAATTGGAGATTTCAACATTACGTTCGTCCGGCCTGCTTGACAATAAAAAGCTGATTGTTGACGACTTTCAAGCCTTGGAATGCGGAAATATATTTTTTAGAGTAAATCCGGACAGTTAATTTGATTGTGCATAAGGCCATATAAAAACGATAAGACAAACACTTGTTGGTAATGCGACGATAATTTCACGCAACTACTTGAAATTCTTCAAATATGCAGGATTTATACTTCTAAATAACAACAAAATTGGAATATATCGGTCGTCGTTTTTTGAGAATTTCTAATTGTTTATCACAAAACGCCTGTTTTCCGGCCATCATTTAATAGCAAAATACACGTGCTTACCTTGCCGATATAAATCACAAACCATTCCGAAAGATAAATGTTATTTTTATGCGAAAAACAAAGGTTATATTTTTTTTTCTAAACAAATTCAAACATTTCGTATTTGTGAGTAATTGAACAAATGCGCTACGAAAAACATACGTTATTATACACATTTTTAAACAAAGCGGATGTGTCTATCATCTTTTGTTGCGAATTACTCACAAATACGAAATGTTTGAACTTGTTTAGAAGAAAAAAGTAAACCATCCTTTTTTGCATAAAAATTACATTTATCTTCCGGAATGGTTTGCGGTTCATATCGGCAAGGTAAGCTAGTGTATTTTGAAATAAAATGCCCTTCGGACTAACCCTGTTAATATATAAATCAACTAGTAGTGATGGCCGGAAAACAGGTGTCTTGGGATAAACAATTAGGAATTCTCAAAAACTACTTGACCAATATATTCCAATTTTGTTGTGGTTATTCAGAAGTACGAATCCCCCGAATCTGAAGAATTTCAAATATCTGCGAGAAATCATCCTCGCATTACCAACAAGTGCCAAAACCTGCCGTTTGCATCGGGTTTCGGCCATTTTTGCTATTTGTCGGATCTTTTTACGTGTTGTCTCATTTTGTAGGTCTCATACATACCTAAAAATCTTATATGAAGTTTTTTTCGTTTCTATCAACACTTTCGATTGAATCCCAAAAAACAAGTTTTCTCATTCTTTGTTGTCGAACAAAAAGTTTTCTCACAAATATTGGTGTACCCATGCGTCCATGTTTTGAATACCGCCTTGAACAACTTGCAGCAATAAAACTAGACTTTACAATTATTTCGCTAACCAGGGGTATTTTCGTCTAATACTACTATTTAAAAGCTCCGATCGAATCCAGTACGAACCGTTCCAGAATTGCGATCCCGTCTCCAAGAAATTTGGAACAGTTTTACACCAGATGACACTATGTCAAGACGTATCGAAACAGTAATCAGTCGAAAAGGCGATGAACGCAATGGTGATTCGCTGATATTTTATTAACTGGCAGTTTTTTTTTAATTAGTAAGATATTTTTTATATGTAGTATTTTAGACTAATATTAAATAAAAATATTGTACCTATGTTATCAAAAGTATATTTTATTTTTAATACGTTTCCGCTAATATAAAAATTTCACGTAGTTTTGATAGTTGGGCTTCACTTCACTTCTTGAGACTGAGCTCGCATACCATGAAATAATCAGGTAAAATTTTGTTTGATTACTGTACCAAACAGGTAGTTGAAAAAAATACATGCGACTACAAAAAATGAATTAATTCAAGTGAAATTGATGTTATAAAAAACATAAAAAACAAGATATACAAACCTATCATCAGGTCGGTAAGGCTGAAATCCGCTCCTACTTAGATCTGATAAGGAACTTGCTGGATACCTATCCACATGATTTGTTGGCAGTCGAGGTTCAAATGATCGCAAGGAAGAAGGTCCCGTTGTAGCGAATGATGATACTTCCTGGCTTGGTTTGGATTTCTCAGGCAGTGGAACACTTCCTAAATAATGAAATCACTATAAGGCCACAGAAATTTGGTAAAATTAGTCAAAAAAGTGATTACGAAAGATGGATCACCACGCATTGGATAGTCTACCTCACAAATGACATAATTTATATTCTGCACAAAGAAATATAATGCAAAATGTTTATGGCGCACTACTAACACGATTTCCAGAGCAACTAGTAAAAGATATATCGTTCAACTTTGTAGTGATATGGACAAAGGTTTCAATATGTACCATTTTCAGAATTTTAAGAAAAAAAAACGTAAAAAAAGCAAAGACATGGACGTAAACGAGTGATGTTAAATACGCAATCCGTCGGAAGGTGCGCTCGTTTTATTTGAGAAGAGAAATACCGACAATAAAAAACTACAGCAAGCACTCTTTGAAGACTAACGATAGTCTATCAAAAATATCCCAGCACGTTTTGCTAAGAACTTCACGAGAAATCAATAACAGATATTTGAAGAAGAGGAATAGCGCATTGATCGAAAGGGATGACATAGTAACATGGCGCAGGGAGTATCTGAAAACAATACGTAGTATTCGCGTAATGGGAAGTCAGACGATTTATTATTTGAATGAAACATGATTGAATGAAGGTCACACAATTCTAAATATTGGCAAGATATAAACAGGAGGATTGAACGTCTTTGAATCACGGAGTACTGGAGATTATCATGAAGATATGAAGGCTCAAGTTTTTGAAGATTGGTTCAAAGCAGTGTTACCAAAATTAGAACCCGATTCTGTGATTGTCCTAAAATTTATAATGGAGAAAGTTACGATATTTATAATTGGCTAGTGTCGAAAAATATACCATGCGACCAATCGATGCTCAAAGCAAAGTTGATGCAAATCGCTCGTGAGCACAAGGGTAGGTACACGAAATTAGTAGTAGATGAAATAGCAAATGAAAAAGGATTTATGGTTTTGAGATTACCTCCGTACAACTGCGAATTCAACCCAATCGAGTTGATATGGGCTCAAATAAAAAACGAGGGAGCGCGTAAGGATAATACTTTCAAGATGGCGGATGTACGTATTTTTTTGGAAGAGGCCCTTAAGGGTGTGACAGGTGACACGTGGCAGAATAGCATAAGGCATGTATTCCAACAAAAGGAAAAGTTCTGGCAATTGGACCATTCCATAGAGGGGATAATCGAACCAGCGATAATTGACTTAATGATAGCGACAGCACTGAGAGTGCTGCTCGAATAATAGTGAGTCATCAAGCCGCAGCGCAGCTGACTACCATTTTTTCAATTAAATATTTATTTATTAATTAATTTATTTATTTATATTTGGATCTATTTACGTTATATATTATGCATAGTCGATTTATATTTGTTTTTAATTTTTGAATAATCAGAATTTATCGTTTAATTTTTGTGCATCTTTCAGTTTCAAACATTTTATTTTGGTGATTTGTTTTGTTAAGTTTTAGAGATTAATCATATTTATATTTCATTTTGTTGAAATTGAGACAGGTGGAGGGAGGGGCGGAATCGATATGCAGCCATCTCCCCGTGGTGAGTCCTGGGTAGCCCGAACATGGAATAGCTGAGAGCTGCATTAACGTTCTGACAAATAAATCCATTTTTTCTTATATTAATCAGTTACAAGTCGCTGCTCTAGCTATTTCTGTTTAATGATGACAAGTGTTACAAAATGTTGAGGTAAATTCTACTTTTTAACCCTTTCCGAAGTGGAACTCGTCGGTTTCTTTTCAAAAAAGTCGGTAATATTCGTCACATTCCAATTCTGTCAACAGTTGTGGTAATGAACTCTGATTCATACAAGTTATGTACCAGTCTACGCAGAAGAAGACGCTAAGTCAGCACTCTTGCCATCGCGAACATTCCTGATTAGTTTCGGTATTACATTACATTTGTTCTTTCCTTTGCATTGTACAAGGGACTTTTCATTTAGTCTCGATTCAGAACTCAAACCCTGAGCATCTCATTGTACCCGCTTTTCTCAAATAAAACTTTATAAGGACCTTTTCAATAGGAAAAGTTACTTAAGTTACATGAATATTCGTGTGACACTAACCCATATCCCTCCTGATGTCAGATGTTTGTCCGGAGGTGGCGCCAGATAGGGACGAATGATCAACGGTTCCTGGTACCGTCTGCTGGGCCAGGTTCCGAAGCGCGGCAGCGAAAGAATGCGAGTACTGGCCTGGTACGGCGCCAGGACCGGGTCCAGGTACCGAATGGGCAGTCGTGGTGCGTGGGGGCGGCTTCGAATTACTGGTGCCGTTTGCCGACGCCACTGATGACTTCGGACTGCTTGATACAGCTGGAACATAAGGTTGTATTTTTACTCTTACAGCTTGATCCGAAAGAAAATCGATATTCTTCACGAAAGTTGCTATTCTTGGGAGCAATTGGAAGGAAAATATGATGAATATTATACTAAGTGATATATAAAATGCAACGCCTAGAATTATTTATTGAATTTTGATAAAGACTTATAAGCATTTTTGCTATCATAAAAGTACACGATGATAAAATGTTGAAGACATTCCGAGCAGTACTTTTTTTATTGTGAAGGCTTTTTTGTCATATCAGGATCCGAACAGTATGAACATGTTTACTTAATATTCAGGGATTTTTCTGTGTTGGTTCCATTTGTTTCATTGCATTATCATGCCTAGAGTTCGCAGAAGCGCTAATTTCACTCAACTTTCCGAGTTTGAGAGAAGTCGAATTTTCTTTTAAAGAAATCGCTAATCGAATGAATCGAAACGAAATTACTCTAATGAGATGTTGGCGAGCATGGTTCAAAGAAGGCCGAAATCGACGAGTTAGAGGTACTGGACGTCAAAGACAGACTATAGAGCGGTATGATCGTTATTTGAGGTAACTAGCACGTAGGGCCGTATCGTCAGTCGTTCCTACAATTGTAGCACGCCTTTATGGCCTCCTTGATTTCATAGTCTTTCCTCTCATTCAGAAATGATCTCTACTGTTCCGTGTCAGCGCTCTCCTATTGGCTATGTTTTTTTTCTTGTATTGTAGGAGATTTCAGGCTATATAACAGATGATATAAATCAAAAGTATGAACAGTTTGATGCAAATAGATATTTTTAACATAACCTCAAAATAGAGCGCTGACATGGAAGAGTAGAAAACTATGAAAATCAAGACGGCCACAAAGGCGTCCTACAATTGTAGGAACGACTGACGATACGGCCCTTAGAGATCGATTTTCCACAACAACGGCAGTTGCGAACCAGTGGTTTGATGGTGTCGGAAGGTCAATAACAATGAGGACGGTTTATCGCCGAACAAGGTATTTTGGACTGTTTTCATACCGTCCCCATCTTGTACTACCTCAGACGCCACAGCATCGTCGGCAACGATTGGTATGTCTCAGTCGTGTTCAGCGATGAGTCTAGATTCCGTTTAGGCACACATGATGGCCGTGCAGCAAGAGTAGAGATTCCATCGAACGGCATATTCATCCCACTGTGGGTGTTATGGTATGGGATGTCATTGCTTAGGTCAGCAGGTCACGATTAGTATTCATTCGAGGTAGCATGATGCTCAGCGCTATATCCACGAAGTTTTACAACGACATCCGTTTCCCTTTTTGGAAACATTGCAAGATTCACTTTTTCAGCAGGACAATGCACGACCTCAGTCGCACGTGTTAGTTTAGACTTTTTAGAAGTGTCCGGAGTAAATCTGCATCACTGGCCTCCTCGATCTCCAGACTTTCCCCCTTCGAACATGTATGGGACATGATGGGAAGAACGTTGCAAAATTCACCTCACCCTCCACAAACACGAAACCAAATTCAGATGGCCTGGGATACAATACACTAAGAAGACAATAATCATCTAAGCCAATCAATGCCTGACGACGAATATGTAGCAAACAGATGAGCTTCAACACGTTATTAACATTTAGATGGGATATATCAGCTATTTTGCAAAATCTCGAGTTAAACATTTAATATCTTTCCATTTATGAGTATTCCTAAGACTTGTAAAAGTATGCTCAAAATTACAGCACTCCTAGTCGGTGTTGCATTTTCTATGTAATTTAGTATAGTAAGCACGGACATTTTTATGGGATGAAAGGGCGTACCAAATTTGGTAAGAATGGTAAAAAATATCGGCCGATATTATACAAATCGTCGAATTCTACGTTAACAGCTCGTTTTGACAATACTCGTAAAGTGTCAATTGAACCTGGAAAAGGTCACCGTTGGGCCCGAGACATCGTACAATAATAAGGAATTTTATATATATACGAGCCCTGTTTCAGTGAAGTTGGCCCAACTCCCCAAAACATGATATTCGTGAAGTTATTTGACAGTTAATTAAAATTTGATTTGAAATATAATATTTTTGGTTTCTTTAAATGTTTATGGAAATATAACAAAACCGACGCGGCTATTTTTAAAGTGTTTTTATTGCGAAATTCTTCTTTGCAAAATGATTTGTGTATAGCAAAATACATGATGAAGACAATTCAAGTTGAATGGTCTGTTTATTCGCTACGATAAAATAAAGGTAGGCTTTGTAAAACAAATGATAAAATTTTACATTGCTAAGAAGCTGATTTTTGACGTTTAAATCAACTTTCAATGAATTGGTGTTGTTGTTAACAATTAAAAATGGCTCTTGGTAAAGATGATGAAATAAGAAAAGTGATCAGTCACTTGCATTTAAAAGGCCAAAGTGCTTTCCAAATCGCTGACAGTGTTAACAAATCGAGGTATACAGTTCGAAATATTATTAAATTGTACAAAACAATGGGATCTGTGGCTCAAAAACCCAGAGCTGGAAGTCGACCGCGTTATTCCAATACCAACTTAAAAGCCTTAAAACGGATTATCAAGGAAAAGTGCCGTGCTAATTATAACGAAGTGAAACTATTATTGAATCAGCCAACCATAAAAAAAGTTTTCAAGAGCAACTTGTCACAGAGCTGCCCAAAAACTGAGATTCAAAACTTACAAGGTAGGCTTAAATAATTTTTTATGATTCGTTTTTGGATCAGTTTTTCTAGGCAGCCCTTATTCACAAAGATTCAGAAGAAAAATAGACTAGAGTGGGCCAAAGAACACAAATTATGGTCTCCGAACCAATGGAACTCCCATTATTTGGAGTGATGAAGCCAGACTTGAAGTATGCGTTGGTGAACGTAGGAGTCGTGTCATAAGAACTAAAGAATGACTGTCTGTTAAGTTTCCAGCTTCTGTTATGATTTGGGGATCCATGCCAGCAAGTGGGAGGTATTATGAATGCTGATAAGTACATTAATGTGCTTCAAAATAACTGAATACTCCAAATTGAACAAATGCGTGTAAACAATATTGAATGTAGCTTCCGGTGCCGCTTGCCATACGGCGAAAAAACTAAAAGATTGGATGTTAGAAAACAATATTTCAGTTTTAAAATGGACGTCGAGTAGTCCAGATCTATCACCGGTTGAAACCTTGTGGCATATCATGAAGAAAAAGCTTCGATCGAAGCCCGCAAGAACCGTTCCAGAACTGCGAACCCGTCTCAAAGAAATTTGGAACAGTTTTACACCAGATGACTGCCAAACACTTGTTGACGCTATGTCAAGACATATCGGAGCAGTAATCATTCGAAAAGGCGATGTAACGCAGTGGAGATTTGCTGCTATTTGGTTTCGTTCATTTTTATTAATCGGCAGTTTATTCGAATCTGTAAGATATTTTTTCTTTGTTACAGAAAAATGTGGTATTTTAGGCTAATATTAAATAAAATATTGTATGTTATCAGAAATACATTTCAGTTTTTAATACATTTCAGCTAATTTCATAAAAAACGTAGTTTTGATAGTTGGGCAAAGTTCATGAAAAATTTGATCATTTAACTAAAATCATTGAATTTACACTACACCACAGTTTATGCTGATGGTTAGAGATACCGGATAATTTCATGGTGTAACTCGCTGAGAAATGATAAGGAACGACACCTGAATTTTTTAAGGACCTCAATTGACTGGATTCTTGCACGATAGAGAGAGTCATAGTGTAAATCTCTGGGGTTTAGGCATACACCCAACAATCCGACGAAATTACGCTTATTTTTTGAATACGTCAATGCAAGATTTTCTTCCATTTTCAATAACCAAATCACCTCCCCCCTCTCACAAGTCGTTTCCAACGCGACGCACACACATATTTTTTAGTTGGTGTTAAACGTCCACAATAGTACACATTTTTATGATCAGCTGAAAAAATAAATGTATCTTGAGGGACAATTTTTTGTTGCGATTACTCTTCAATATATATCTCATAGAGTCTGAATATTGTACCAATGAGTTATAATCGAGAACGTAATACTTTACATATAAAGGGTGTTTTCAAAGTTGAGTCATTTAGTTTAACTGCTTGTATGACTCGTCAAAAGGAGTTGATATACAAAAAAAACCTATATAAAAGTGAGAGAACAATGAGAAGGTCACGCTGGAAGACCTGCTCAACCTGAAATGTTACAAATTGAGGAAGACATTTAAGAAATGGTCGAAGGCAACCCAACAATGAGTACTAGAGCCATAGCAGCTCAAGTTGAAGTTTCTCATAGTAAAGTGTGGAAGACAACACGAAAAGAACAGAATTATCATTATCAACGGGTACAAGCGTTACAACTTCAAGAGCAACCTAGAAGAGTTGCATTTTGCCAGTAGCTTTTAGGATAGTTCCGCAGACAAGGAGATTTTACGAATTAATTTTGTGTACAGACGAGGCCACATTTACACGAAATGTAGTGCACAATTTCCACAACAATCATGTCTGGGCAGTAAAAAATCAGCATATTGTAAAAAGAACTCATTTTCATACTTTTTTCCACATCGAGTGACTGGTGAAATTTATTTAGATTTTCTTCGACACATGCTGCCACAATTATTGAAAGATGTTCCTCTAAATGTGAGACAGAATATGTGGTTCCTACATGATGGCGCTCTACAACATTTTAGACAAGAAGTTCGTGTACATCTAAATAATGAGTTTCCGGATAGATGGATAGGGCGCAATGGACCCATTGCTTGGCCTGCTCTCTCCCCGGATTTAACGCCTTGCAATTTTTTCTGTGGGGGCTATTTGAAAGAGTTGGTGTATCATGATGGAGCAATAAATACTCTGGAAAAACTTCAACAACGCACTTAAAATAATTGTGATTTAATTCGTGGAAACCAGGATCTTATTTTCCAAGCTTGTAAAGAGCCGTCGATTCGCCGAGCAAGAGTTTGCGTTAATCGAACAAGTGGTGACAATTTTGAACAGTTTTTGTAAAAACGGCATCCATTTAA